TTTGCACCGTGGATCGCAATCTTCACATACAAGTAATCGACTGCCCAAAGGACATCACCCCAAATCGGCATTCGCTTTGATTCATCATCGGATACCAACTCGCCAAGCCTTGCAGTACCCCAGAACGCTACCAGTGCAATGGCAAAGATTGCTAGGTCTTTCTCTTCGTTGAAGTTGATGTGTTCTGATAAAATCGCTAAGTCCGAAACCAGTACTGGTGGACGTAGTTTCTCCTCTTCTAGCAATTTTTGTTCGACCGTTTCGGATGCCTTCAGTAAAAGAGCTACTGTATCATCTCTATCGTAAGGGAAATCGTTCTGGTGGAATTTATGCCAAGCTTTAAGTCCAGCAATGTACGATCGCAGTGTTGAAGCCTTGACCGACTCGTCATCTCCGGCGAATTCTTTGTCTTTTTTGGAACCCCATACCACAAAGCCTAGGAGGACGTTGGGCGCAATTGGTAATAGATCGGACTTGTCTATGCCCTTTACTACGGCGTATCTCAGTAATTTCACGACACCTGAATTATAATGTTTTAAAGTGCCGTCCATCCAAGCACCTCTCAAGAAATGTTTCTGTATCTCATCTGAGTCTGATCTATCAACACCGAATGCGTCTTTCTTGAACGAACCGTATGGTCTAGTAAGTCTTCTGAAATCGTCTTTCTTCTCTTTTTTTTCTAGTCTAATTTTCGTGTCTGCTTTGTCTACCTTCTTCTTCGTCATGTTGTCTCTTCTGTTGGGTTTGGTGTAATTTGGAATAAAAGTTGCCGTAGATCTATCGGGATTTCGATTTTTACTTCTTTAAACCAGAGCAGGTCGGGCGTCAATTTCCCTCGCGAAAGATCATCGGCTTTGTTATCTTTTGATGCTACACGTTTCTGACGTATGTTACAGCCTAACTCCATGAGTAACCGCTGTATCGCCTTCCATTCGTTGTTCACATCACGATCCTTCGACTTCCGCTTACGAATCGCGTGCTCTGTCGTGGTGTTGTCAGTATGCACCCAGAATCTCCTACCTTGGACGTTCATGACTTTATTCACCACCAGTAGGCCTAGTCTAATGGCTACAGTCTCGGCCCAGGCGATACGCCTTCTCCGTTCTTTCCTTCCTTCCACCTCCCATTCTTTCGCAAACTTAAAGCATGCCCAGAAACTTCCAACTAGAACTCCAATCCTGAATATGTTAGGTACAGTCAAGGTGAGTTAGAATTTCTTTGCATCAGACATTGTCTTTGGTAGTTAAACTCACCCGAACGAAGATGCTGCGTCTCCTACCCACCCCACTTCTTCTGTGGTCGGGTTAGGGACAATCCTGCACGCATCAAATTTTTCCAAGCATGACTCCCACTCTCTGAGGTCTTCCACCACGTCTTCTGGGGTCAACCTCGAGGCGTGCATATTCTTCCACGACTTCTTCCAGCGATATAAGGAATTAAGGTATGCCGCCATGTGCGGCACAATGTGGACTGTATGACATAGCCGTCCTACAAATTTCTCAACTTGGGAGTAAGTCCATTTACTATCTTTCTCTAGGAATTGTTTGATCTGTCCAAGTCGTTCATCTAATTTTTCTTTTGGGAGTCTGACCGTATGTCTCTTTCCGTTCCAGATAAACCCAAGAAATTTCTGTTCTTCTGCGAACTCGTGGTTTTTCCGCGGGTTTGTCATTACCCCCATTGAGTTGCTAAGGTGAGTAATGTCTTCCAATGACGTCTTCTCACCTGGTCTCCGGAGGATGAGATTGTCGTATACCCACCTAAAGATGGCCGGGAAGTTAAGTTTGCTAATCATGATCTGCTTCCAGGTTTCTGCTGGAGCTCCGAAAACCCCGCAACTTGCTACGCCGCCGAAACCAACCGCTAGGTCCACCCAAAGCCTACCTTCGAAATCCTTAATAATTAGGTATTTCCTCTGGCTGTGGTGTACTGGGAGCTGACGGTAAGCTTTAGCCCAGTCAAAGACCGCCAGTTGCCATTCCCCTGGATTGTCGCGAAAGAACTTGGCGACTCTTTTGAAATCGTCCCAGGAGGTTTCGTAGTTCATCTTATCTACGAAGGAGTTTACTGACGGGATTTCTTCATCTTGTTTTGGGAAGGACAGGTCATTTATCAATCTCACGGAGCCGTCTCCATTCGTCGCGCTTCCCATTGGGTTCGAGCGAAAGAAGCCAAATCTGTTGTACAGTTCTTCGTGTGAATACGGTCCAGCAATCCTACCCGCCTTCAGTTCTCTAGCCAGGGTCTTCTCAATCTCAACTTTGACCTCCAGCGCTGAAGTGTGGTTGTCGGGTGTGTACCATTTGCGGTTGCCTAGATAGTGTTGGGGGATGCCTAGGCAAAAACCTTCCATAAAGCCGTCCATGATGTATGGTATGTCCTCTTTAAGTCCGGCTTCTTCCATTAGTTGTTTCCATTTGTCTGTCACCATTTCGCAACTGACCGGTTTTGGCCACTCTGTGACTCCTTTTGCTTTAAACAGTTTCCTTTTGCTCAAAGGTAGCCTTGTCCTTTCGTTTATTGTGGAAGAGGATCCATCAGAGGAAACCGAGCTATTTTCGTCTTCGTCTTCTCTTTCCTCCACCACCTCGTTAGCTACTTCGATCAGGGGCTGTAGGTCGAACTCTTTATCTTGTCTTGAATTCTCTTCATCTGCAAGCTCCGGCCATGTTTCGTCGGGTAAGTTGTTGGTCTTCCAGACCAACTTGTCTCTCTCTAGCACCCATTGACGAGGACCTTGTGGACTAAGGGCTATCAACATAATAGAGGCAAGAGAGGTTTGTCATTTCATTGTACCATCTATCTTTTAGATCTGATTCACTGCACTTCATAACTTGTTATAGGTAAGAACGAAAGGAAAACAAAGGGTGTCTTCGTACCAGCAAGGATTGGTCGACGGAACAAGCATTAAGTCACAACAAGCATGGAAGATAAGTACAACAAATTGGAATTGATCCACGTTCCGACCGTATCAGCAATGGGCCGATGGTTGGGGGGGAGGGACAAAGTCACCGGTTGATAAGAAGAAAGTGTGTCACTATCGTCAGTCATTTCCTTTGTAAGTACGAGGTGGGATCCTACTCACCACACTCCGTTATCTTGGGCTTTCCCTTTCCCTTTCCCCGTTTGCTTATTCACATGCTGATGTCCATGTGCCACCCAGTCATGGCCGCTCTGGTTAGAATACGCCGTGTTGTTCGGGTAATGGGGGCCGTGTGCCTGGTAGTTCGGCTGATACATCGTGCTCCCCTGAAAACCTTGGAACTGGTTCCCGTAGTAAGTCCTAGGTGGGAAATACGGTTTCTTTTGATAGAAGTTTCCTCCTCTCTTCTGTTTATTAAGCTTCTCACTACCTCCTATACCTTCTCCTTCAAGGTCTGATCCGTGACTATCTGGCAATTTGGAGGTGCTTGCCGCTGGTTGCGTTCTCGCCACCGGTTGGCCCGTATAGAAGTCGTAGCCGTACTTCTTCTGGCCAGGGGCGTACGGGTTCCCCTCGTACCTCAAGTCGCCAGCCGATTCAGCATCCCACTTGGCTCTTCTCGCCGCTTCCATTTGAACTCCATCTGGTAACACCACCTTTTCCACTTTCTTCCCCCTCTTCCCATTCTTTGTCCTCCTATACATGATTTGAGAGCGCTTCCTGAAGATAAGTGCTCTGATGATTAGGTGGTACCTCAGCCCCACCATCCAACATTTATGTTGGACCATCAACTGGTTCACTACTTCTTTGTGCTTGGATATATATTTCGCGTAAGCTTCATGTCCATACAGTTCAGACGCGTAGCGGGTTTCCAGATCACAAGCTAATATGAAGTCACCATAATTCATTTGCCTCTCCAGGTCTCTCTCCGAAGTGGCCATAATGAATTCCTTTTTGCTCTTCTTCGAACCATCATCTACTGCTGAGTGATAGGCGTCAATGTAAGACCTCTTGAAGACAGATAACGGGACGTATCGTTTGAGTTTTTTGAAGCACTTGTCCCATTGGTCTGGGAGATCTGGTAAGTCCAGTCCGGCTATCGCATTTAGTTCGAACTGTACATTCGCCTTTGACATGAGGTCATCATCTATTTCAGTATCAGACGAAGAATCCAAGGAACTCGAAGATTCAGACCCTGACGAGGATGAATCTGAAGAGTCAGAGCTTGCCTCTGAAGACGAGGAGTCACTGTCCGAGCTAGATGACGTAGAGCCGTCAGATGACGGGGAGGATCGTCTCTTTTTCTTTTTGCTCTTTGATTCTTTACCGGGTTTGTCGTTCCCTTCCTCTATCTTGTCTTTCCGTCTCTTATTTGATTTGCCTTTCTTTTTCCCTTCTTTCTTCCCCTTCTTCGATTCCTCCTTCCTCTTCTCCTTCTCTAACCTCTTCACCTCTTGCTTCAGCGCCTTCAACTCCTCTTCTTTCACCATTTCCCTTCTCAAGGTTTGGATGAGATCCATGTCGACCCCGTCTATGGCCGCGGCCAATCTATCCACTAAAGGACGTGTGTCGATAGGAGCCGTAGGGGTCTTCTTCTTTGCTGCTGGGATCTCAGCATTCACTGGCGCCACCACGTGGGACTCGGTCGCCGATGTGCTCCCTGGCTGGTTCAACAATCCTACTATTAGACACGTGTATCCTAGATAAAGTCAGTCTGTGATTGAACCAGTGTGCCGCTCTAGCTCTCAGGATTGAGACGGTGGGGGGGGATTTGGATATAATGGACCTGCTGCGACAACTTTGTTGGAGCCTCCTGGATTCAATAGTCTTTCCCGAAGTAATAGTCGAGACATCTTTCTAGGCCCACTTCGTGTCGAGGAGACACTGGCTTCTTGATAGGCCACCTTTGTTTCAGGTGAGGTCTACTCATCTACCAAGTTGGATGGGATGCGCCTGGCTAACCCTACATTCCTAAAGGTATAAGTGGGAGCTTCCATGCTACTACCATCTATCATCACAGGAGCTCAATTAGGCTGCAACTTCCAACTCAATCTGGATATTGACTTTTTAGGAATCATTATGCATGGATTACGGGAGCCTTAATACGGGAGCCCTCGAGGGCTACAATCTTGGTAAATACAGGAGCTGTTCATCACAAGCTACGACCATTGGAATTGGAGGAGCTGGCCAACCATAAGGATAGGGGGGGGGTGGTTATGGGGATAAGAAGAACCGATCTCTGGAATAACTCACTGTGATCGTGCTCGATCAGCCCTTCATAGCGAGTCTTGTTCTTCTTCAAGACTTGATCATCGTTCAGTAAGTCATCCACCTCTGTGTTTTGTTTCCCCTTCTTTTTGGTCGATGCTTTCTTCTTCTTCTCCGAATCCTTCTTTCCTCTTTCCATTTCTCCATCCTCTACTGACGATGAGATACTGTCCCTCTCTTCATCATCACTCACTTCAAAGATCAACTTTGCTTCAACGCTCTGTCTTTCTACCATCTTGCCAGCGGAGCTAGGGTCCTCGGGGTCTTTTGAGTCGACGTTCTTATACGCGGAAGTCGGGCAGGTTGTTTCTTCGATCGTAGTCGTGTTGGTCTGAACTTCCGTCATTTGAGTGTTCAGGGTGGTCGGTGTGTTGTTGTTCAAGTTTAAATCTCTTGAACCTGCTCTCCTTTCCCTCTCCTCTGCTTGTTCTTTCAACCTCAAGGCATGAGCCTTTTTCTTCTCTTCTTCTATCTTCATTGCCTCTGACATCTTCTTAGATTGAATCAAATTTGTCGATTTTGGTTTGAGTTTTCTCCACATTCACGAGTTAATCTGCAACGAGGATTTGTATTTTAATTTCAACTTCTGTTTGAAATCTTGAGTTTTTCGAAATTATGAGCTTGGCAAAGAATTAACCTTGCAGGTTGACAGGACTCGGCAGCAGAGAGAAATTGGTAAGAGAGAGAGAGAGGAGAAAATTTCCTCTTCCTCTCCTTCCAAATTCGTGGGTGGAGTCTGTGACATTCCACCACCCGTGATATCTCTGCCTCGTCTGTCACCTCTCTCCTTCCTGTGAATGGAACTCATGGTACCGTCACGGGCTAGGAACAATATCTAATATCCTTGTAGCACGTTGACGTGCACACACAAAAGACTTTCCTTAGACCCTGTAACAACCCATCAAAGAGGTGCCACAACATGCACATCTTTCCCTTATCACCTGGGAGGTTGAAAGTCAGTTGACCCCTGCTGACAACAAAGGATTCTGCAAATCCTTTGAACAAATCACAAAGCACAAAGGGTGCTCAACAACAATCTCAGTCCAAATTCAACCAAAAGACTTGGATTTTTATTTCAAAACTCTTCGTGTGTGCACGTTGACGTGCCACGCGGATATTTACATGGTGGAGCACAGGAGAAAACCAGCGGTAAATCTGCAAGGTGTCACAAGAACTGTGTGAAACATAAAGGTTCACAGAGTGGTAGGTCCAGGACCCAGTGGCACCAAATTCAGAAGAATGTAATATTTCCTATCTTCCTCATCCTACCACCCTCTCACCTCGGAGCTATCTGCTATCTTTCTGAGTCTTTTAGCATCCTGCTACTTATTCCCTTTTTTCTAGTTAAAGATTCTCTTCTCAAATTTTGCAAGGCCGCCCACTTGCCCCGGGGTTGAGGAGTCATACCTCCTTGAGCCTTACTCTCATTCTCACAGGCAATTTGCCCCACTGTAGTCTAGAACTATATAGGTTTTCTTAGCCCGGAGACCCCCCACACCACACATACATCATACTTACTAGAATGTAGGTTGTGTAGTGGTAGAGTAATGATGTGGGGTGATAGTACTTGTGATCACATGTCACAGGTACCATACCACAGACAGGATAAAGGTTGAGACGGGAAAGCTAGTTGGTTTCCCCTTCCTGACCATGTTCAACACAAACAATAGAAGTGTACAATGATTGTTGATTCATATCTGAACATTTAGCAAAAGATCTCACTTGATGAATCTCAAGTATGCTATACTAATTTTCCAAATATAAAAGGTGAGGTCTAGCAAAGTTTGGGGAAGAGAAAGACCCATCATGCAAAAGGTCAGAGAAGAAGAAGAATTCCTGCAATGACTGTATTAAAAACTCCATCCACTTCCTATTGCACCATCCATACTAATCTGCCTGTTTCTGTCAAAATTCTTTTATGTATTGTGATCTCCTAATCAGCCTTTATTATCAGTATGATGGCATCATTTCATGACAATCAAGCATCTTTTTCTTGTTTTTAAAAAAAAGTGCAAGATTCATTGATTGAATATTGGCATTGCACTATCTAAACAAGTTAAAGCATGTAAGGAACTAGTCTAAAAGAATAGCCAGTCATCTAGTTGGTACAAGAGTTAGAGTTGTCTTGAGATCATTGCACAAAGGTATATCTATCTTCATTTTTTTCAACAGAGAGTAAGTGAAAATTTGGAGTCTCCAAGAATAAGGCAAAACAGGGTTGGCCAGATCCATGATGACTTGTGCAGTGGGGCTGTTCCCAAGGCCAGGAATGTCATTTTTCACAATTGTGACAATGTGACAAAAGTGGCACTTTATAGCCACCATACACAGATCACATATCTGAAGACAAAGGTACATCCAATTAGGGCTATGACCTGGCCCTGCCCCAATGAAAAGTTGACAAATGCCATTAGTTGAAAGTAATATAGAGTACTCTGTAAATGGAAAGCAGAAGGAGCAAGAACAGGAACAGATGTCCAGAGTACCAAAACTAACCAACCGGGTACATTGAATGTCTTCACACTGTGAACATTATATGCATTATCCCCGAGTGGAAATGAGAAAATGATCAAGATTTTAGTTTGTCATAGAAAGATCTATCACTTCACACCTGAGCCTTAACACCCATGCACTACATATGTGCATCAGGCTGAGACAATAGGTGGCTTTTGTGCACATACAGGTGTGCTCAGTTGTCTGCTCAACTAAATAAGTAAATCACATGTGATTCATCATCTAACTTTTTTCACTCTGAAAAATTGTCCAAAACATCAACTACATAGACCTCCATATCAGGTGGTGGGTGCAGTGCAAAAAACACGCCTTGGGTGCGCCTAGGTGTCAGAGAATTTGGAAAATCAGGGGTCAGTGTGCCTGTTCAGAAATCACACCAAATTTAAGAAATGCTACATCCTGTCACCAATATTGGTGTTGCTGACCTCAGCAGTAGGACTTGTATACAAACTGGGAACTCCAAAATCAACTGTTGCTCACCTTTACATGGCAAAACTGTTGTGGTAGGTGGCTACAGCAACTTGAAAATTAGAAAATATATTGAAAAAGAACAACATCTCGGTTCCCAACAAATTTCTTTGGAAAAAACACGCCCGGCGCGCCTCCAAGAATATAAGCACACCCACAACCTGACCTCCATAGCCAATCAGGATCTAGTCATTAAGATAAGAGTTAACTTATGAAAACTTCCTAATAACGCCAATATCAAACTTTTCTAGACTCCAGGCCATTCAGACATAGAATTAAACAAAAAAAGCAGATGAATTAGCTAAAGAAGCTGCATCCAACATAACTAATGCAATCACAATCCCCACGAGCTTGGGTAGCCTCAAGAAAAGAACCCACAAAAACTTTAACATCAAAAACTATATATTCAAACCAGGTAAAAATCAATTCATCACTCACCCAAAAGACATATCTAAAGGCCTTCAGAATATTGAAAAGGTGGTGCTGCAGCCATCTTTTAGCTGAGAGCAAAGTTGTTATGGACAGGCTCGGGGTGTTTGTCGACGAGAGTCAAGGGGGTTCAGCTGAGCGTTGTATCTATTACCAAGCTTCCTATGAGGATTGTCGGATGAAGAAGGAACTGTACAGGCTTTGTATCTACAAGTATAAGATGGGTCTCTAGCCTGTGACATGTACGGTAGCTATGTCACTCAAGTGAACCAAGATCAGTTCGTAACAAAAGTATAGCCCGCTAAATGAACATTTGTTCAGGAGAAATCTGATGGAATCACCAATGGGCCCATTGTGTGGTGTGAAAGAAAATGCTGAACATTATCTTTTGTATTGCAGAAAACACTCAAGAGCGAGGAAGAAATTCAGAACACGCCTACGTAAAGAAAAGATCAAAGTCAACTGGTGCAATGCAAAGGAGCTACTGGACAACCCTAAAGTTTTTCCTTTTCTAGCAGACTTCATTCTTCAAACTAAAAGATTTGTTCATGTTCACACATACACACAGGACAAAACCCTCAAGAAGGCAACCACAAAACAGAGATAGGAAGTGGCACAGGATGGACAAAGATACTGAGGACCTACCCAACGGGTTCCCTTTCAGGTCAGTGTTCAATCCCATACAGGTTCGTTAACCTCCAAGCTACGTCTTGGGCATATAGGTTCTCGAGATACTGCATCAAACAGTCCCAGGACTATAAATACCAACCAGTTCTAGTACAGAATCATGTTCAATCCCATATTGGGTTCAATAGCCTGCATGTGCTGCCATCAAGGCTGCCACTATACTATACTATACATACTGTGACTATACTTGGTATAGTATAGTACAACTATACTCATCTATACTATACTATACTATACTGTGCAGTATAGTTCAACATGCTAATGGAAAACTTGTGAAACCCTTGTCCATGTATAGTTGATCAATTGATACTATACTGAGTATAGTTGAGGAAAGTATAGTTTTAACTATACTATACTGAGTATAGTATAGTACAATTTAAACTATACTATACCCAACTATACTCATACCAGTATAGTTTAGTATAGTGGCACCCTTGCCACCATGGATCCACAGGCTATCAAGACATTTTTCAAACCAGTCGCAGTGGACTCTAGAACACAAGTAGTACAGAAGGATTATGTTCAATCCCAAAAGGGTTTGGCAACCTCCAAGCAACGTATTGGATCATAGGCGCACAAGACATACATCAAATGGTTCCTTTCTAGCTCTTAACCTCAACTTGGCTCGTTTCATATATGGAGTACGCAAGAAGTTCTAGAGTCTAATGACTTTATAAACGGTCTTTACAAAGCTAAAGCCAGTTAATAGAGGCCTATTGATTTCCTTCAGGTGAGCTAAATGCCTAAAGATGATTTTTTTTTTAAAAAAAAAGTGGAAAATCACTATAAGGGTTAATAAGCTACAAGCTTGGGCTCCATAAGGTTTCATTTGCCATTCTGCTGTTATTAAATGTCTCAAGTTTTGATTAGATGGCCGTTCTTCTAAGGTGTACTAGTCTTTTTTCAATTTATATGTGTTGATAGTGTTATATGCAATTAAGCCAAAAGCACTTTTAAAAAAAAGTGTTACAGCATGTATTACATATGGATTCCCTTATCCAGATGAGCAAATAACTGAGCACACCTGTATGTACACCAAAGCCACCTATTTACTCAGCCTGATGCACATAAGTAGTGTGGGTGTTATGGCTCAGGTGTGAAGTGATAGGTCTTTTTATGACAAATTACAATCTTAATCATCTTTCCATTGCCACTTGAGGATAATGTATTTTCACAGTGTTAGTTTTAAGATGTGACTTATTTATGTATCAAGAGTAGTCTTTTCCAATACAAAGTCTTACCTTGATTTGATTTGTTTGCTTTTATTCTTACAAGCATCATCAGATTTGATTTCAGAAAATTGACACTACTTATACATTTTAGAATCATTCTTTGTGATAAATATTTACATTTCAATCAACAAATGAACTTGTATATTCATATCCATAAATGAAGTGTGGTTTTGTAAGTTTCAGCTTGTATCAGTTTGCACTTGGAACCAGAAAGCAGGTAAAGTTTGAAATGATGTGTATCCAAAAAGCATTCAAGATGATTGAAAGTAAATGAAGAAATAAAGGGTTGATATATGAATTAATTCTTTTGAGTTTAAATAGATTGATAGGATAGGATAGATCAACAGATCAACCAAATGGATCAACTAATCAAGATATTTTCAAGATGATAAGTAATAGAAACTTCAAACTGTAATAGAAACTTCAAACAAAGTGTAAGAAGATCAAGAAGAAATGAAGTACAGAAAACTTAAGACCATGATTTGTAAAAGAGTATAAAACCTACATTCAGATTCAGATTCAGATTCAGATTGGAATGGAAATCGATTTGGGTTGGGTTTGAATTGATTTTTGACTTTTTTCGATTTCTTATCAATTCCCATTCTGATTCTGAGTCTGATTTTGATTCTAGAATTTATCAATCTTCTTGATCACAATAATGATAAACTCATCATTAACTTAAAACGAAAAAAATCAAGATGCCATTATTAGATGGAACTCAAGTATCTCCATTACCATTACCATCTAAACTGACTACCTTATCAGCTGATACTGAAGTTTGGTCAATCCATCAAACTGGTGAAATCTTTTTAGATTATGAGTTAAGAGTTTTCTTTATTTTGATCATTGACTTTCAAGATCGTTAACTAATCGATAATCTCTTTACCATAGGTCTTATGCTAATCGATATATCTTTTATTCTCAACCAATCTTTAAACCAAATCATCATGTTCAAGAACCACAAGAACAAGCATCAACCGATTTACTTACTTTCTTTGATGCATTACAATCTGAAGATCAAGAATTAGATCGATTAATTCAAACTGAATTCTCAGATTCACTTAAATCTAGAATCTTGGCTTGTATAACCACACCAGATGCTCGTAAGTGATTTGATTTCTATTTAAATTCATATCTAACAACACACAGATTCTGATGTTTGATTTGATTTGATTTGATCATCAGAACGTGAACATTCGATTGATAATCTAACCAATCATCTTTACAAATTACACTATAATCGATTTCATAAAGACGAAAAAGTGATTGTAGATTTAAGTTTTAATCAACCACCCAGTCCATCTTCCACAATCTATACAGCCAAGATTGTTAAAGTCTTTCCACCTAAACCATTAAGAGATTTAGTTAAATCAAAAGGTGTTCAATCGGATTTGATTCATTTACAATCGATTGATCAATTCAAATTAAATTTAACTGAGACTTTAAAGATTGATGATTCGAAATCTTATCTTTATACCATACAACTTATTGAAGATTCTCAATCCGCTCATCATGATCAAGAAGATGGATTCGGTGGTAGTTTTATGGAAGTCGAACCTAAGAAACTCAGGTGAGTGTTTTCATCATCACACTCTTTATCTTCTTCAATCAGATCAAAGATTGACATTTGACTTTAATTCTCATCTCCATTCTCTCTCCAATCCAAGTCGACATCCTAATTCATTTTCTAAATCACTCTTAAAGAAATTCATTCAATCATCTCTTTTACCAGTCTCTACAACCCAACCTAATCCACGATGGAGAGTACCAGATGAACTGATGCAAAAATATGGTCTCATCAACACACAACCACCCATACCCATACCAAACCTATCAGCTCATGTACCCAGATCAAGACCTAAACGAGGACCCCCTTCAACCCCTACTTCTCGTCTGATCGATCACCCAGAAATCACCGATCCGGAAACCAAAAGAACCATCAAGAAACGTAAACGGAATAAAATCTCATCTACGCCTCTTATGGTCCATCATCCACCTACATATGAAACCTATTTACATCCACAATGTTCAATCAATCCTAAACCTCAAGAAGATCCACCAGTTTTACATGCCATAAACTTAATGGAATGGAAACCCAGTGATTCGTTTTCGAAAATCATTTCAAAACCTTCACCTCCCTTAGAAACACCTGATCATAAAAAGAAAAAGAAATGGAGAATGAGTAGTAGTAAGCATCATATGAAAGAAGACTTACGAGTGATACCTAAATCTATGGAAAAAGAAGTACCTAGAAAACTTCATCTTGAACAACAAGCTTCGAATTCGAATTCGGAACCATCTCTTTCGACACCTGTTGTCACTGAGAATGGTGAACCACTTCAGAGATCGAACTCGGTGAAGAAAACAATTAAATATCCTAGTAGGTCTTTGATTTATGAACCTTGACTGTTTATCGATTGAAATTTTTTATGAAAGAGCTGGCTGACCTGAACCGTATCTTTGTTTGATTATTCTTTATCTTTTGTTGATTTGGTCTCTGATTGAATTAGTTGAAGATTTAGATTTAGATCCCTTGACGATGATAGATGGAAGATATTTAAGAAGATCCAGTGGATTGATCCCAAGTTTACCGATCAAACCGATTCCAAGTCAACCAAAAGACCCTAAAACCTTTGAAAAGAGTTTGATGATTTGGAGTTTTTTAAATATCTTTGAATTGATAGATTGTAAGATTGAAGAATTAAAAGATCAATTAGATTTGATTATTGAAAGATTAGTGAAAGAAATCCAAGTTGATTTGTCTTTGAGATATCCTACTTGTAAAAACGAAGGAAATGGTAGTAGGTTTAAATCTAGATCTGTTTTACCTTTTTTTTCAAATCAACCGATTCAAGAAACTAAAGTCATGAAGATTGAAGCAAGAGAGTATTGGATAAGGAAATCTATTAAGTTTTCGAATCTATGGAGATTAACTATTGATCAAACTTTGGTTAAAGAACAACAAATTCAAGAAAGTAGGAAAAAAAAGAAATCTAAAGAATCAAGTTCAAGTCATGAATTAAAGGAAGATTGGGTGATGGGATTAGTCGAGATTATGTGTCAGAGAGGTGGGATTGAACAGATTGGTTGTATGGGTAGATTAATGCAATATCTGTTTTCCAAAGATGGGACATTAACTTTATTACCAACTGAGTCAGGTATAAATCCCATCATTCAACCTCAAGAACATCATTCAACTAATTCGATCAATCTTCCAACATCAAATCATCATAACAAAATAGAAGTAGAAAATGGAATTAGAATTGAAGAAGAAGAAGAAGAAGCAGAAGAAGAAGAAATAGATGAGATGGGGATTGAAGAAATCCAACGATATGGAGAATCATTGATGAATCGAAGAAAGGATTATCAGTTTATGAAACAGATTTTGAAATCTAGGTTTAGTGAATGGGATTCCGATGAGAAATTAAGTTTGATTAGATTCTTATGTGATTTAGTGATTGAAGGACATTATATTCGAAATTATATTGAAGATTGTGATGAGAAATTAACGATTGTTAGGAAAGAGAAAGCAGATGTCAATAAAGAGAAGAGAAAAATGTAAAGTTTTGAATTTCGATTTTTTTATGAGTTTCTAAAAAGCTAACGTTCAAAGGGTTTGCTTTTTTTTGGGGGGGGCGCTTATGAATGGAATTTTAAAGACTTGAAGAACTTTCAAAACTTGGGAATGGAAGTAAACCTTTGAACGAAACATCATTGAAATCTACAGGAGGAGATGAGCTAGATCCGATTACCCATCAAAGTTCGACTGTGACCACACCGATCTTACCATCCCCGACCCAACCAATCAACCCAACTAATGAAACAGAAGATCCTCAATCCAGTACGACATGTACCATAACCGACATCACGAATCTAGAAACGCCAGTAAGGATGAACACCTTATTAAATTCGAAATCGATCAAAGCACCTAAGCTTTTGATGAAGAAGCAAGGGCATCAAGAATTGAAGGATCCGAAAGAAAAGTATGAAGTTGAATTGTTTCGATTGAATCTAAAAGAAATCTATTTGAACGAACGATTTCGAAAGTTTAATGGAGTGATGAAAACCAAACCGATTGGGATGGATCGATATTTTTGTAAGTATTGGTGGTTTGATGGGATAGGTGGTAATTCGAATTGCGTGGGACAATTGTTTGTTTCAGGTCCTAGTATAGATGAAATGGATTGGGTTTTAAATAAACTTCATCATCATCGGTTTCATCATCATCATCATTATTGTCAATCTGATGAAAATGGAAATGAAAAACAAATTGGAATCGGACTTGGGGTTGGGGGATGGGCAGTTTATGATACTGAAGTACAAGTTGAGTGTTTTTTTTTCAGAATTGAGACATGATTGATTTAATTGATGAAAAGATGGTATTTTCTTTGGCATGGGAATCGTTTAGATTCAAGGTTTGTTGAATTGGTTGAATCCTAAGGGAAATCGAGAATCGGTTTTAAGAATGAATTTAAAAGATTGGAAAGAATATATTTTTGAAAAGATTAAAAGTAGATGTGATGAATCAAATGATCAAAAGGTAAGAAAAGCATTTTCTTCAAAACCGCTTGAAATTTTCATGCCTTCAGAAATTGATTTGACTTTTTTTTCTTTTGGTTTGGATTAGCATGAAGGTAATGATGGTAAGAATGGAGAAGATCATGAAGATCGTATGGAAATTCAAACTGATTCTTCATTAAGTTCACAAGAAGATGAACCAGAAGAACCAGAAGAAGAAGAAATCGAATATAATCAAAGTAGTAGTGACGATGGTGATGATCAAAGTAGTGAGAGTGAAAGTGATAGTAGTAGTGAGAGTGATGATTAACGATCTATAGGTTTCTTTCATGTTTCATTGATTTTGATTTTTCTGGGAAACTTGTGCAAGATTTTTTTATGGATTTCTCTTACTCAGTTCAATTTGGATTTCTTTTCTTTTCTTTTTTAGGATTGGGTTTAAATATTTTTAGGATTTTTTTTTATTGATTGAAAAAATCGGTTTTAATATACATACATCAAATCATTTGTTTGGGGAAAAAAATGTTTATAATTTGTGGGTTTTTTTTTTGTGGAAATTGGGAAGGAAAGAAAAAGAAAGATTGGAAGAATGAGTTGGAAAGTTGAGGGTTTACTTTTTTTGATAATTAATATATGGAGAAAAAAATAAATGAAGAATGAGGATTTTGGTGAAGCAGTTTAACTTCAAATGATACCATAAACTAATTGAAGACCATACAAGAATTTTTGAAGAATATCAAACTCATCCACTACTTGGACACAGTAGAGGGGAGTATTGAGCTATGATGAGAACTTTTAGTCTTGGTGACAGCTTTGTTTCACAAGGATAAGTTTCTCCTGGAGGGGAAAGAGCTAATTCAGGCATTTTAACCATCCAATGAAACCTATCCTAGAAGGCTCAGGATAATCAGCTTGGGTATTGTTAGAATACATATAGATTATCAAACTCGTCAAACACATTACATCAAAATCATATTTACATACAGTACTCAAACCTAGTTTATATCAAACTTAAACCTAATTTAAATTTGTATCACATTTAAATAGTACCGCTCATCCACAATCGCCACTTTCTCCTCATCAGTTCACTGAGGAACAAAGTGGCGTGTAAGTGGTTTCATAGTCTGTATTCTTTCAATCCGGATAGATCAATTGTTAATCTCTTTCTCCATTTCTCTTCAGACTTTGTTGTTTTCTTTCACCCTTAATAGGTGTGATTCTTTATCTTTGTCTTCGGTGTTCAGAACCGTAAAGACTGACGCCCGTTTACTGGCATCCTAAGGTTAGACACTATTAACTATATGAAATATTATTATCAGTTCACTGAGGAACAAAGTGGCGTACTTTGTTGTTTTCTTTCACCCTTAATAGGTGTGATTCTTTATCTTTGTCTTCGGTGTTCAGAACCGTAAAGACTGACGCCCGTTTACTGGCATCCTAAGTTACCATTCTGGTGACTCGAGTTTCTTTAGATTCTTGCATGGTAGCGAGAGAAACTCGAATCATCTTATAATTTTATGTCATCACCTGCCGAAGCACCTTCACCTGCCAATACCTCCGACGATTCTATCGAGGATCAGAACGAGGAATCTTCTGAATCATCTTTTAATTCTACTCATACTTCTCATACCGAACTACCACCTAGAAATACCATCATCATGACACAACCATCTACACAAACTCCATTACTATCTTCACAAAAAGACTTTGCCGTCGCTCTAAACATCAGCTTAAGTAAAATTCCCACTACCATCATCTTAGGAAAATCAAACTATAAACATTGGGCAATTGGAATTAAACGATCACTAAGACCTTTAGGACTCGACAGATATCTCCAATCACCTAACAGACCCGACGATACTACTGAGGAAGAACACCTAGCAAACAAAGAATGCATCATGAATTTTCTACTTAGTCGCATGGACTCATCAATGTCAGCATATGTAGAATCAAAATTACAAATTCAAATTGATGAAGAAATTGATCTTGAATACGAACCATCTAAATTATGGAAGATAGTTCGAGAAAACAAGGCCCCAATTTCCGAAGCTGCTCAATTCCAACTCGATAATCAACTGGATGAATTCCGTCAAGATAATCGAACAACTTTAGAAGCTCATCTAGCAGAGTTCAGAGAATTGAAAGATGAATTAACTTTAGCTGGTGGAGATTTAAATGATGGTCAATTAGCTAGGAGACTTATCAAATCACTTCATCCCGATAATCAACTTATTTTATCGAATGTATTTGATATGGTAAAACCCCTTACTTATGATGGTGTAGAGCAGTACATATTGAAGAAAGAAAAGGAGTTACGAAACTTACCTCAATTCGCTAATCTTCACAAAAATCAATCTTTTCATCCTGGAGCTCATTTCGTGAATCGTAGTAATAACCAAAATCGCAACAATCAATTTACACGACCCAAATGTACTGCCGACCGATGTGTATGTAAGTATGGTAGAGATGAGTGTTTTGAAAACCCGAAGAATCAAGAGAAGAAGATCAGATGGCAGAAGGATCTAATCAAGAAAGGTAGATGGCGAGGTCAGATTCCGAATCACTTACAATCAAGTAGTCAGCCTAAAACGTTTCAACATCGAAGTTCATCAAATGTTCAGCCAGAGACCAATATCGATTGTGATTTAGATGAATTAACTGAAGCTATGAATTCCATGAACGTATGAACAGATGATAGTCAACCAACCGTGTTCCATATTGATTACTTCTGCAGTAATAAAGCTGTACAGGCTAAAGTTCCGAGTAACTCTTTTGGACTAGCTGATACGGGATCATCTCATCACATGTTCAATAATCTAAAACATTTCGATCAAAACTCGCTCACCCCAAATCCTGATCCAAGCAAGAGACTTAACTTAGCTGGTGGTAATGATACACTTGAGATTCAGAAGATCGGAACTGCATATTTATTAGACGCTGATGGAAATGTTATGAAGTTTGAAAATTCATTATACGTACCTCATCTGAACAAGAACTTGATTGCTGCTGGTGCTCTTATCAAAAAAGGAGTCGTTCCTTCCATTAATCCCACTAAACCTCATCTATTTGATCTGCTTCTTGGCAAGAAAACGCTCTTCCGAGGATTCTTTTCCGGCAACCTCATGATAGTCAAACTGATCGAATGCCCTGTACGTCTGATTCCCTTTCAGCAATCATCTTCAATATCAATCATTCAATCTGACACACTAATCAATCTTCACAATCGATTAGGTCATCCGAATTTCACCTACCTCCGAAAAATGATTAAAGATGAGATGATTGAAGGAGTTCCTAAGAATTTTGATTTTTCTAAATCTGTTGAATGTGTCGCTTGTATCAAATCAAAGAGTGAACGACCCCCTTTCTCCAATACCCGACCTCGTGCTGAAAATAAATTAGATAATGTTCATGTAGACTTGAGTGGAATTGTGAGAGGATATGTGAACAGTGGCTATCTATACTACATCCTTTTTACCGACGACTTAACTGGAATGCGTTTTGTGTACTTCTTGAAATCAAAAGATAAAAATTCAGTTTTTAATTCATTATGTGCATTTATTTCATTTGCCGAGCGCCAGAGCGAAAGAAAAGTCAAATGCTTCACATTAGATCAGGGTTCAGAATTTTTCAACTCTCTTTTCGTACCTTATTGTAAGGAGCATGGCATATGGCTACACGAAACCGCTGCCTACACACCTGAGGAAAACGGTGTCGCCGAGCGTTCGAACAAGACTATCACTTACAAAGCAAGAGCTCTACTCCAACACTCAAACGTACCACCTAGTTTCTGCTTTGAAGCCGTCAATACCGCTGTCTATCTTGATAATCGCACCGTATCTTTAGCGTACAACAAAGGTATCATGACACCTTTTGAAGGATGGTATGGAAGAAAACCGTCAGTATCTCATATCCGGACTTTTGGATGTGGTGTAGAATATATAGTCAGGAAGAGTCAACGTGACGGCAAGTTTCATGCTATCACTCGAACTGCTGTGCTCCTCGGTTTTGCAACTGACAACTTCAACTATCGATTATACGATCTTGAATCCAAGAAGATTCTCACATCTCATGACGTGAAATTCCGTGAAGACTTCTTCCCTTTTCGAAAATCAATCAAATTCCAATACAATCATTTATTTTCAAAGAAAGAATTGAATGAACTTGAAGACTCACATCCTGGATTAGAAACTGTCATAAACCTTGATGATGACGACTATCCTATCCTCCCTAATCCTCGGCCTGACGTGAATCCAGTTGTTACATCGGAGTCTGAACCTCCTGATGTTAACACTGATAATATTCCAGCGCCTCAATCTACCCCACCTGAAACAACCGAGGAGTCTGAACCTCCTTCGGATGCTTTACAGGATGCGGAACAAATCCCCAACCAACAACCAACTATCCGGAAATCAACTAGAGATAGAAAACCCCCTGATCGATATACGCCATCGAGTCAGCATACTTTCTGGGCAGACATCAACGCATTCATTACCGGAGAAGAAGAGGACTTATACGCCTACAGTACCATGCCAACCGTCAGACTTGTGAATGAACCGAAAACTTACAAACAAGCCATGAAATCATCAGAGAAGGAAGAATGGATCAAAGCCATGAACAAAGAAATCAACTCAATCAATGAAAGGAAGGTATGGACCATCGTAAAGCGACCAAAGAACAGATCAGTAGTTGGTGGCCGATGGGTATTTCGGATTAAGCCCAATCTTGATGGCTCAATAGCCAAATTCAAAGCCCGATATGTGGCCAAAGGTTTCTCTCAAGTTGCTGGAGTCGATTATCACGAGACGTATTCACCAACCGGTAAACCTGCATCGCTCCGTATCATGATCGCTATTGCTGCTTTGAATGGATGGCCTGTTCATTCAATGGACGCCATATGTGCTTTCTTAAACAACAAACTAGATTACGAAATCTATATGGAGCTACCGGATAATCTTAAAGAAATTTACGGAGCTGATATGGTTGCATGTTTAGGAAGTACAATCTACGGTCTCAAACAGTCAGCAAAATATTGGAGCGACGACGTTACCGAGTTTTTATTATCAATTGGGTTTGTTCAATCTGAAGCCGATGCATGCGTATTTATAAGAATCTCAATGAATGGAACAAAATTCTCGGCAATGTACGTTCATGTGGACGACATGGCTATTACCGGAAATGAAATTGAAGAAATCAAGCAGCTCATCTCGAAACGCTGGGAAATGGAAGACCTGGGTATCTCACACTGTATAGTAGGCATTCAAATTAGTAGAACCTCTGAATATTCATACGCCATTGGTCAACCTGCTATGATTGAAAGCATACTAGAAAGATTTGGAATGAATAACTGTAAACCAGCCAGCACCCCACTTCCAGCCGAACAGAAACTCACTCGAGCTAGCGACTTTGATGCTCAAGATTTCGCTCGTCAAAATCTTCCTTACAGGAACGGGGTTGGATCATTGATGTACTTATCTCAATGTACTCGACCTGATATTGCATACGCTGTTGGTGTTTTATCTCAACACCTCGACCGACCCTCACGTGCGCATTGGAACGCCCTCATCCATGTCTTACGATACCTTCGAGGAACCACTCACCTATTTATTGAATACAGTGCTGATGATAATGGACTATCTGGCAACCAATCCTGGGATTGCCCATATGGATTCTCAGACGCTGACTGGGCCGGAAACAAGGACAACCGTCGATCAACTACCGGATATGTCTTCAAATTCTTAGGAGGAGCAGTAAGCTGGAAGAGTCGCCTTCAACCAACCGTTGCACTGTCCAGCACCGAGGCCGAATACCGCGCAACCACCGAGGCTGGACAAGAAGCAACATGGCTTCAAAACTTGCTCAAATCCTTTGGCTTCAACATCAATCAACCTACACGTCTTCACTGTGACAATCTCGGCGCAATCCATCTGACCTCTAAGACCATTTTCCACGCTCGTACCAAACATATTGAGATTCAATACCATTGGATTCGGGAGTTGGTTAAACGTGGAACGGTGGAATTAACCCATTGCCAATCTCACAAGATGATCGCTGATGTATTCGCCAAACCATTAGGTAAAGCTTCATTTCAATGGCTAAGAAAATCAATTGGACTTCATCATCGCGAGCCAACATCTTAGTATTTCTTTTTTGCTCTTTCTCTTTTCTTTTCTCTTTTTTTTCTTTTTTTTACTTCTTCCTTGCTTATATATAAAAACTGTGATCTCTTTCAGTATTTGACGTGTTTGAGGGGGGGTGTTAGAATACATATAGATTATCAAACTCGTCAAACACATTACATCAAAATCATATTTACATACAGTACTCAAACCTAGTTTATATCAAACTTAAACCTAATTTAAATTTGTATCACATTTAAATAGTACCGCTCATCCACAATCGCCACTTTCTCCTCATCAGTTCACTGAGGAACAAAGTGGCGTGTAAGTGGTTTCATAGTCTGTATTCTTTCAATCCGGATAGATCAATTGTTAATCTCTTTCTCCATTTCTCTTCAGACTTTGTTGTTTTCTTTCACCCTTAATAGGTGTGATTCTTTATCTTTGTCTTCGGTGTTCAGAACCGTAAAGACTGACGCCCGTTTACTGGCATCCTAAGGTTAGACACTATTAACTATATGAAATATTATTATCAGTTCACTGAGGAACAAAGTGGCGTACTTTGTTGTTTTCTTTCACCCTTAATAGGTGTGATTCTTTATCTTTGTCTTCGGTGTTCAGAACCGTAAAGACTGACGCCCGTTTACTGGCATCCTAAGGTGTGATTCTTTATCTTTGTCTTCGGTGTTCAGAACCGTAAAGACTGACGCCCGTTTACTGGCATCCTAAGGTGTGATTCTTTATCTTTGTCTTCGGTGTTCAGAACCGTAAAGACTGACGCCCGTTTACTGGCATCCTAAGTTACCATTCTGGTGACTCGAGTTTCTTTAGATTCTTGCAGGTATCCGCAGGGAGGACAAAATGTTGAAATCTAGCTGTGTTGAAGGCCTTTTGTCATTTGTGGAGTGAGGAAAACGTCTGGGAATTAAGAGGAGGGCTTTTTTCCTTGGGAGGTGGGTGGACAAATAAAAAGTTATTTTTTGGATGATGAAAAGACACTGAGGAGTGGCAGGAGTGACAGGATTGCTGAGCAATAAGGCTGAGCAATAAGGTGAGAGAGGAAGAGAAGAATGGTAGCATGGAGGAGAAAACGTTTTTCTCTCCCACTCCACTTACCTGTGCACTCTGGCAGAGCCACCCTGCCTTTCGTATAATGGACTGTAGGGTAATGTTGCCTGTTTGGGGTACTCTTGACTTCTGTTTTATTACTTGACAAGAAATGGGTCACTGGCTTTAGAAACTTTATTATCATGGTTCATGCTTTAGCAGCCACAGAGGCATGGTTTACTTGCATGATAGATAAATCATGAATTACGAGAAACAGACAGAAAAATTGAGGTGGAAGAATCTAGAAAAAGCGGATGTTCTGGAGGATATTATTTACCAAAAGCACTTTTTGCCCCATCACCGTTTGTCAATACTCATACTGACTTCCAATCTTTTCAAGGTAGAAGGAGATTTTCCAAGTTTCAATTACAATATTCATTATTATTGCACATTAATTGAATTTCCTATTGTCATTGATTTGAAAACAAGTTCATTGAGATTACCCATGTGATTTGTTTTTAAGAAATTTAAATGAAAATATTGAAAAAAAAAATCAAAAACAACTAATAACATCAAGATCAGATGAATCATTTATTTGACGTCTAAATTCAGTTTGAAATCAATTCATACCAAGATGGTCTTCAAATACATTCTTTTTTTCATTCAATCATCTCTGAAGCTTAATGTCTTTTTTAAAATATAATCTTATCATCACAAAGAAATCATTTCACTTGGGTTTTGACTTGTTCGCACAATACACCCGGTTTGAAGTTTTGACACCTTTTTTGTTTTTAGTGATCCCACACGGGTTCGCAGGTTGGCATGTCTTAACGTAGCCTGCAGCCTTATCACAATGCAATATTCCTTCCTTACTACATTTTGCCGGAATGTCTTTATTTGTAGTAGGATTCCAACACCCGCAGGCCGGGTGACCCTTGATCAATGTATTAGGTTTGTGACATACAAGTGTGTAGTCGGATTTCACTTTTGAAAGATCGGGCTTATTTCTTCCATTGGGCTTGGGTTTATTGACTGCCGCGGTTTGTTCGACAAGATGTAGCATCATGATGAGAAACGCCAATGAGATAAGAAGGCGGTTTCTGCTGAACATCTTAACTGAGCAGAAGATCAATGGCATCAGTCTATTTGATCATCATCAGTATGAATAAGCATGTTGGATGATATTTAGAGATTCTCCTCAAAAGTGAGCCGACGGCGAAGGCGTATTGATAAGATCATAAGCTTAAAGAAGATAGACTCACCCTCCTTCTACTAGGATTGATGGAGATGTCAAGATTCGAGCCTCAATGAGCGGAGCTGTAAAAAAAGTTCAAGAATTGTTTCTGGTATTTCGGAAAGACAATCTTCATGTCAGATTACTAATCTGTACTTTGTATTAAAAAAATCACGCAATAAAAGAAAATAAGCTCACCAATTGAGAGAACTTGTGTAAGAAGCGATTCGATCAGAGGTGATTTGAAATTGTTTAGACCGATATGACCACACAGTGGAAGTGAAAAAGATATAACAGAAAAATGATGTGAGAGAAATTGAAGACAACTTTTTGTAAAGTAAGAAGATTGTGACTGCCAAATGGTCAATGGGTTTATATGTTGATTGGTATACGAAGGAATCAGTAAACAAATTTGTGAAGGATTATTTCACGATTTTTACTTCAGACAGTTTGTAAAATGGACAGGTGAGAACGAAGAAGGATTTTAAAATCTAATCGAGCTATCTCTTATACGCTGTGGATCTAAAGTTCTTCTTGAGCTCGAAAATCAAGTATCTTGGTCACCAACAAGTCCTGGTGACATCAAGTCTCTCGGTATACGAGGTTGGTTGGCGGCTAAAAAAAAGGTGACCGACATCTATGAGGCGGAAAGATATGACTGCGTCCGAAGGAGGAAAATCCACAAAACAACTGGTTCACGGCCTTTGATTTATGCTTGTTGATTGATTCAGAAGCATACTCTTCCATTCATACTGGTCGATTGTGCCTAACGCCTATTAGAAACTGCCTGCCTCGACCCTTTGACTGTGACATGCCTGTATCGTCACGGTTGCTCTTGCAATGTGGTGGCCGATAGCTCGGATTTGACGCGCCAAAGTGTGTGATCGACGCGGGAGATGGGTTGAAAGTTGTCAGCATGGCATTCGAGCATATAGCAACCTATAGCAACCTATGGCAACCTTCTTTGGCTGTTTAAAATTGTCATTGCAGATCAGCGACCTTAACATCCACAACGGTTTCCGACTCTTGCGGGCTTTCGCCAGTCGAACATAGGGGGGTCAAAACGCGAAAACATGCTGCAGTGGATCCCGCAAGACCTGATGGGGGACGTCGAGACTGTTCGAATTTCAGAAGACAACATTTGCAAGGTCTAGGCAGGCTCTCGATATCTCGTGCGACCGACCCAAATGGATCTATTAGGAGCACGTTTCGGCACATCTTCGAAGTGCTTGCTCAGCTTTGATCTCATTTGAGGTGAAGATGTCTTTATCGCAACATGCACATGGCACAGGTCCTCTGTTTCGGTTTCCTGGCTGCGAGGTGGCTTTGCATAGCGCCCCCAGAGAGGACCACGGATAGCCCTCATAAAGGTCCATTATGTCAAACATTTTGGCTATGATTTGGCAATATACATTTTAAAAAAGCTCAAACTTTGGCCCATTTGGCTCTAGACAACAAGCAACATTCAAAACTACAAGATTGAGTGTTCTGGAGGCTTTCTCAATAAAACAAAAAATTGGAAAAAAAAGTCTAAAAAATTAAAAGCTCAAAAATTTGGCTAAATTTGGCTTTCTGGCTTCAGCTTTTACAACAGAGATTTTCATCAAAAATCACATTTTGACTCCAGCAAGACATCGAGGCTTAGTTGGCGATATCCAGGGCCCTCTCCACAGTCTACATGTCATGATCACTTTAGCCGTTCAGGAACTGTATATACGCAAGAATCAGAAATGGATAAGTAGGACATGTAATTTTTTAAGTGCTTTTGATTTCACATATCACACTATCTAAGCTATGTAGGTTAAGAGTAACTAAATTACAACTTTCATTTGTGTTCATCATTGTGATCAGGACTATCAAGCCTATTTCAAGATCCCTTTGTGCAATAAAACCCGCCCAAATTAAAGTCATTTATAGAAAGCAAAGATGAAATGAAATGAAACAGTAACATAAAATAATGGAAAATTGGCATAAAGTGTATTTGTTTGTCTAAATATGTTTTAAAGTAAATAAATGCCTGTGGCTTGATTATTTTGGGCTAAATATGGGAATAATGCTGGTGTATCTAATAATTTGTTTGCTGAATTTATATCTACTTTTATTTTTTCTTCTTTGTTTTTTTTCCTAAATGCTTGCCGTTGCTTGTTGAATCGTTTGCAAAGAATCAAAAAATGATTTGGTGATTCTGTCACTCTACAATTTTCACATTTGTCATCCTCTTCAACCCCTATTCTATGTAAGAACTTTTTGAGGGGGCATTGTCCGCATTGTAATTGAAATATTGTGGCCGCTTGTCCCTTTTCTAATTTATCTAATGTGTCAGCTATGCCTCTTCCTTTAGTTTTGAAATTCTTAATGGAAAACGCTCCCCTTTTAAATTATTCCTTTGTGTGTCATATTAAGACTCCCAGACTAACTGGTAAAGCCACTATGTTAGAGCTCCCCTCTGCCGCCTCTCTTGCCGCTTGATAGGACCCAGGAATGCACCTATAGAGGTAGGTAACAAAAATCCCAACCATTTGTTGGTGTGGTTTTTGGGCACTTAAAGACACATTTACAGCACCTACAGTAGTGCAAAATGTGTGCGAGTTCAAAAAATTTCATTCAAGCTAGCTGTCAGCCTCATAGCACCTATACTTCCTGAGTTAATTGTATGTAACAGTCAAAAAGAGCCCTAAATTTAACGTTGGGATCAGGCCTTGGAGGCACAATTTTTTTTGCACCAATTGATTTTCCGCCTTGTTGAGTGGAGTTGAGAGACTTGGAGTGGGCTCATTCAATAGCCCTACTCCATGTGCATCTTGTGAAGCGCTCTGGAACTTGAGACAAGGAGTGTTGTGTCATGTAGAGCCCAAAAACTGAAAAGCATGTTTTGTCACATACCTTTATAGGCACATTCCTGGGTCCTTGCTTGATCCACCTTTTCATTTAATTCAATGCCTTTGTGCCTGGGCGTCCAGTACAACGTAACTTTGTTGCTTGGTGGAATGGTCTTGTAGCCTTGTGTAAAATTGTTGCTATGTATTGTAGTGTTGTGGGTTGTGCTGGATTTGTGAGTAAGTCTAATACCGCTTGGCTATCACTGAACAGTGCTAGTGACAAAACCTTCCCTGGTGTTTCTGATAATGTTGTACTGTATTCTAATAACGGGGGATAAGCGCCATAGACTCCATTTTGTAGTTAGAAATACCTTCAACTGGCCCATAAGTATTGCTTATCACCCCATCTTCCATTGCTGCCACCACGCCTCCTCCAACTTCTGGGATGAAAGATCCTGATATAGGCTCCTTTGGACTTTTCTTCGTTTATTTGGATTGGTAACTTCTCCTTCACCATGTCATGTTTCACCCCTTTGTTTGTAAGCACCAACCAAGGCACGACTTGGTGGGGAAGTCCATGACTGAGGGAGGTGTACAGATGTGGGGCAGCAGATATGCTTATAGCGGGTGAAACCTCTCTAGGAGGTTGGACAACTCGCGGCTAGAAAATTTTCCTAGCAGCAAACGTCCACCACCCGCTCAGTCCTAGCACCACATCAGAAAGATTCACACCTCATCGCTTAAGTTCTTTACGTTCAAAAACATTTCCTTTTAAATTTTGAAATACCGCAACCATTGGAAGACAACACGCCACGAAGACACAACATCAACTCCTTTAAAACAACAAAGAGGGAAAAAGAGATGGCAACTTTCGATGAAGAACTAGCGGAATCGAGAAGAAGAGCAGAGGAAGCGATGAAGGCAGGCGCAAAAGGACCAGGAACAAGAAGCAAGTCGAGAGAAAAAGAAGGAGAACACGAAGAAGAGTCAAACATCACCTCGACAGGAGAAGAGCGGCGGAAAGAGAGAAGAGACAGTAGGAGCCCCGACGAAGAAGACGAGACAGGAGGAGACACGGGAAATCAAGGTGGAACGGAACAGAGCGGCAGTGGAGAGAGAAAGAGAGAAGAGAAGGGGAAAGGCCCAGGAGAGTTAGAAGCAGGCGGATCAAGCCAGAATGAACAGAACTCGGGCACAAGAGTTAGGATAAAGGTTAAAGGTAAGAACTGGTCCAAAGTCAGACAACACCACCCTGCAGAACTTCCCCTCTATTTCTATCTCTATTTCTATCTATAAAACTATTTCTATCTCTATTTCTATCTATAAAAATAATGATAAATAACAAGAAACAAAGTCAGATTCCAGCAATTGAGCTGAGGCACCAGGAGCTACATCCTTGGACAGAAAGAGACGAGAACCACTCACAGGAGACTCTACCGGCAATGCCGAGGCAACAGGGAGCTAAATCCCGAGAAATGGAGAAAGAAAACTATCCGACAAAAGTCGAGGCAGACAGAGCTAAATCTGATCAGAGAAAGAGAAAATGAAGAGCTCCCCTCAGCAACCAAGCGTAGCAAGCTTAAGAAATAGAAAGAGAAGCAGAGAACAGGAACTGACTTGCATCGGAAAAACCCCGTTTTTTGCAACAGCCGCAGCCCTACCAGAACCGGGCACACCAGGCGACAGAAGCAAAGACTTATGGTGGAAATCCATTGTCGAAGCATACGGTGGAGGAGACCTGGAACTAGGAAGAGCGATGATGCACGGCTTCACGATGATGTACGGTGACCCCCCATACGATCCAGAAGCTCTGAGAGAAAACAGAATGCAGAGGGTGGAGTCAACCCCAGACTTGCAAAGCGACCCGCGACCGGAACGGCAAAGATCGATGTCACTGATAGCCGGAGGAAGCGATACCGAATAGGTCCCACTAGCTAGAGAAGAGGAGAGCGAGAAGCCACCCAAGTCAAAGAGGAAAGATAGAGACATCAGAGATATGGTGGACCCGGAAAGCGAGATAGTGTTCATCGACAAACAATTCTCAAACACGAACCTCTTGCAACTATCCTCAGGCATCCATCAACGGATGACGAAGCTAAAAGCCTATGTTCCATTGACGGTCTTCAACCTCGAATGGATAGACAAAGACTACGAGAAAGCAAGCACCAAGAAGACAAAGTCGATGAAGGAGCTGCAAGAGGGAGACGAGGTGTTAACTTACACAGGTCTGACCCCGAAAGACGAACTGCTACTTAACTACGGCGAGTGGATAGATGCGATAGACCTCTTTATCAGATACGTCGAAGAGCGGTACCATATGCAAACGACCGCCAAAATGCTGAAAAAGCACAAAGAAAACGTGATTGAAATTAGGAGATCAACGGCATGCTGGATGATAGCATTGCATTACTGCATGAAAGTAAGAGACAATCCTATAAGACATTCCACCAGGAAGATGCAAGGAAAGAATATTGATAAAACATTTGCACACACACGTAGGTGAGGAGATTGTTGATGCAGATCGTCATAGGAGAGTCCAGAAAACGAGAGATGTGCAACGCAGGAGCACTACAAGAAGATCTTCTGAGAGCGGCAAAGGACAAAGCGGAATCAGGTGGAGAACGAAACTTCACAGAGAACCCATATGCAACGGGGCAGAAGACGATGGACTCTCACGTGCAGGCACAATCCACCACGAGCGCAGAGAAGAGACAGTTCGCCGCATCCAATCACGTCAAGCGGGAGACCTCTGGCCCGAGAGGAGGAAATGAGACAGGTTGGAGAGGACGAGGAAGGAAGCCAAACAGAGGCAACTGGCCAAACCGGGGAAGTTACCAGAGCCACTACGGAGCGTCCCACAGCACCCACTACGTGCCAAACGGATACGGAGCCTATCCCCCCAACCAGCATCACCAACCCTATGCCCCAACCGCGTACCAACAGCACAGGGGATACGGATACCCTCACAACAACATCAACGGGTACACAACGAACTGGCCAGACCAAAGCCACAGCGGAGCGTACACTCCAAACGCGACTATGGGAGAAGGAGGAAGTCAAGGAGGAGCCGGGGGGAAAACGTACGGAGGAAGCGGAGGAGGAAAAGGAAGCGCAGCAGGAAAGAGCACGCAGTGAGCTGAGATGAAAGGAAAGAGACCAGAAATGAAACTCCAGAAAGATGCTTCCCTAACTCCGATCCCCTCCATTGTCCTACAATCTCTCTTGTTTCCCAAAAAGCTCCAATTATTCCACAGACGCTATCCATAATCATGTCTCCGCCAAGTTGTACATGTGTTGTACGCCCGCTCCACCCACCTTTTGTCTGTCATAGAGAAGCACGTTATGAGAGGAAAACGTGCGAATGAAATAATAAAGAACAGATTTTGACTTACAACTTGGTTTGACCCCCTCTTTCGCCCGATCCTTTCACCTGTGGCGCCCTAATCCTTCGGACCCTACCCGAAGATAAACGTGCGACTACCTACGGGTAGCTCCCGAAAAGTATTTTGCCAGAACTGTCAGATCGGCCAGACAGATCCTGAGTCTCGACAAGAACCACAGTGAGAAGTTTTTTTGACTTTTCAACCTTCACAAACATGTTTTAATGCATTCTAGAGCCATCCTGAAGCTTTGCAAAACTTAAGTTTTTGACCTGCCAACCTTGAAAAATTCGAAAAAAAAACCAGACCTGTCTGACTGGGGGTCAGATAGGTCTGGTGGTCTCTAGCATAGCGCAAAAGTCCTCAGACGTGTCTGAGTCTGATAGTCAGACTTGTCTGGGACATATTCAAATCGTCAGACAGGTCTGGTTTTCCAATATACCCAGACCTGTCTGAGGAGAACCTCTGATAATCGCATTACCATGCCATCAGACAGGTCTGGTGATACTTTTCCAACCAGACCCCCCTTGCCGATCTATCCTTTGACCACCCAGTACAACTTCATCCAGGCCAACAAAAGCTCGACTCAATTAAATCAAATCAAAGACTTCACATCACATCTTCAACTCCTCAAACTCGGGTACCCACAACTCCAAAACAAACCTGTCACTGAATGGAATAACTCGATCGCTCAGATCAAAGAGACTGCCACTCCAATCTCGATAACTGGCATCAAAGACTCAAATGCGATCATTGTTCAACATACTCACCTCAAGACCCAGGCCTGATACTCAAACCCGTATGTACCAGTGCAAAAAAATCAAAGGTCTTCATTCAACAGTGTCTTGAATCCCTTCACTGAATCCCTTCTTACATTTGCAAAACGCGTGTAGGAATCGAATCATTCACATATCTCACTAGGTCAATAGACAATTCAAAATTAGTAGTACAACAATTAGAAGGCTTCAATTTGCAATCACGATCCTATGTTATCATCACTATTCAACATGAAATGTAAAGATCACAATCCTTGTATCACACACATATGATAATGACAAATGATGACAAATCCTAGCCATCTGCGTTGATGTTAAGATCAAACATCATATTCAGCTCAGCATCCTCCAAAGGATCAATTGGCTGAGCAATCGATGTCTGAGCATTTACAATGCTTTCCCATGCAATCCAACAATCTGAAATTAGCCCCCTCCAGCTCAAGGCTAGTCCTTCATCATAATCTCGGCCCAAATTTCAGTAGATCGAAGTTCCTTCCAATACATATGGTATATCAAAATTCCACTCCAACCAAATCCGAGTAAGTTCAAAAGTGAGTGAATCATACAATGCCCTCAACACACGGCTGCACTCTAACCAGTTTTTTTTGGTTATGCGACGAGGGACTGCCTCACTTGGTACCACCAACTCCAACTGTAATGCTGTAGTTGTTGGGTCCCAAGCTAAATTTAATCATATGAATGTCAGTGTTGAATTCAAGAACAATGAGCTTGTAGGTATAAAAACCACTGATGTTTCTCTGAAAGGAGACGTAATGCCTTCAGTTTCTTAGCCATGACAATTGACCACTCCATCAAACTACGCACTTCCTTTGCAATACGTCGCAGTTCCTTGTCACAGCTTCGTATTGCAAGGAATGCTTTGATCCCCTTTTGGGTGGGTATGTCCACAGCCCACTTCTCTTGTGGATGTTGAAGTCCACCAAAGTTCCAGAAATCATCGGTAATGTCTAAAGCTTTTACATCATCAAAGGATTTTAGAGCCAGGGGATCTGGAGACGGATACAATGCATTAAACTTTGATACCATGTCGTGGTAAGTTTTCCATTTTTTTTCAGTAATTCCTGTTTTTTATTCATCGAAACTTTCATATGTTGCTGAATTGAAGTACCTACATATCGATCATTAGATATTATAATGCATCAAAACAGGTGAAAACATGGCTCACCCTGCCCAGGCTCGTCCCACCGCCGTTTCAACTCAATAACCCCGACTTTAGCTTCGTAGAGGTTTTGTTTGGCAATCCGGATGCGTATAAGAGCCTTTCCTTTGGGATCTAATGCTGTTGTTTGATAAGGATTAGGAAGTCAGAATTGAATCAAATATATGCAAATAATCAACATTAAATATCTACCTTTAGCCTGAGGTATATTTCTGAACCTCTCACTACCAAGCTCGCTCACAACCTCCTGGATCTCCTCTTTGAGATAAACAATCATCCCCGGAAGACTGGCCAATTCGCGTAGGTCTTCTGCAGTACGATCCGTTCGCTTCCGCCGCCTGAGCCGAACCAGCTTGTCCCTATTACAACAACGGGAAAGAGCAGGTGAGTACATGTTTGACAATAATGATTCAATAAAGAAAAACTGACTTATGTTCCCGCAAATCTTCCTCAAACTCAATCAGCTGTTGCAATTGGAGCTCCAGAGCGCGAAGGTCATTATCACCAATGACCTGAGACTGTATAGCCTTCTGCCTCTCCCACTGTTCAGCAAAGTATTCTCGGCGATACTCACCATCCTTCTCAATCTCTTCTAATATTCCCAAATTTATGTCTTGAGTTTTCTTGGCGATGGTTGTCTTTGACTTGATTGATTGTACTACCAGAAATAAATGAGAACAATGAAAATGAAAATGATTGATGTATCAAAATCAGATCAGATCAATGCGAGTAGTTTGTGTCAGCTCTTACCAGAGTTAGCTCGAAGTAGATCATTTTTGTGAGATGCCTTTAAATCGATTGAATCCAACCTATGCTGCTTGGTACTATATCGTAATGCTGAGACCAAGGATGACAATGAGAACCAACATCGTTCACATCCTTCTCCGTCCGACAATCCCCAGCCAAGATTAAGACGTGGGTTATACTCCAACTGGCAGCCCCAGTTGTGTACATATGAGTGGAATACAGAAGTTCCAAAAACAAACTGCGCAGCTTTTCTCTCCTCCACAAATATTCCTCTCTAAAAGACGGGGACAGGGAAAACAAAACAAGCATTAAATTTTGACTAATCATCAACATACAATGATGAGTGAAAGACCTTCTCAATACCCTTCTCCAGGTTACAGCCAATATCATAGAGAACACCAAACGTTCTAGGTCGCACATCCTCATCCTCCTTTGCTCTGTCTAGCAGAGAATCCATCATTGTATGGGCAAAGTGAACTCTGGAAGTGATATATGAGAGTCTTTCCGAAGTGTGATTTTGTAAAGATAACAACTCACTTCTCTCCGCTCTGTTCAATATTGATAAAAGCCAGGGCATGGTCATGTCGACAGACCATGCCGAGTAGTCCTGTATCGTCGCATCCACGCCAAGTCGAGCCCGTCCTTGTATCATTCGCAGCGGTGTGCATCTGAGTGCAAGGATCCTAATTTAACAAAACAAATATGAGACTTATATGGCAAATTCTGTGTTATCTATACATACAAGCTCGTTTTTGTTTGATACGGTCGCACTTTTCACACGCCACTTTTCAACTTGCTCTGGTTTAACAAACAGCAAAGGGTATCTTAATTTGATCTGGGAGTTCTCTACACTGGCTGCTAGGTGTCTCCGCTGTTGAAAGTTACCATCAAGGCAAACTATGTGATCGGGTTCTTCGGAAGCTTCACCCAGTGGTCGAGGTCCAAAGCAGCGAGGGCAATTGGCTGCCAGCTGCTCGAGTTTGGTTAGTGAGAGTGCTCGGATCGTCAGTTCTTTCTGTAAACGTATCATATGTCGATATGCATCTATAGCTGATGAGAAAGGCCGGCGCCATTGCCGTGGCTATCATTAAAATGGATCAGCCCTGTTCGACATTCATCTTCAACAGACAAACCGACTTCTCACCTTATTTGTCCCTTCGCTAAGCATTAGCGCATTACTTGGATCAAGAAACTCATCAATCGCTCGTGTAAAAGGTTGTAATCGTGTGCCAGCAAACTTCCAAAGGATATGATAGAAGCGAAGTAAGCGTAATGAAAAGGCCGTTTTGGGATGAGTGGGTGTGCCACCCATATATCCCATTTGGATTAATCTGACCACGTCCGGCTGGCATGAACAGAACGTGATCACTAACTTCTTACGGCCTGGCATCAAGTTGGTCAATATACACAATTTGGCATCAGGACTAGGTGATACATACTAAATATGTCGACAACATCTACCGGTCGAGTCCTTTTCTTGGCGGTCAAGCAGCGGCAGTCAGGTTTCCAGTCAACATCCCAGGCTGCCGTTCCCCATTGCATGGTCATCTTGCTTGCTTCCATGAAAGCGATGAACATGGGGGTGAGATTGTTAGCCCATTGACGTTCCTCCCTGACACGACGTTCCTGATAAGATACGCTGGTTACATGCTGGACCACCTCGTCGTCTTCATCATATGAATCAGACGGATCTTCAATCGGACTAGGCCCACGATCATATTCTTCAGGATCAGCACGAACTTCGTAATCAAATTCAAATCGGAAGGGTGAATTGGGATCAGAGGGTTCGTTTCCACTCAATTTGCTTCCATGCCAATCATTTGCGTTTGGGTTCAACTGTGACTGTGACTGTGACTGAATCAAGATTCTGTTTCTGAGCTTGGTACATCGTCGATCGGCCCAATCGTCTTCATTACGTTCAAACTCCTCAAGCTCCTTCTCGGCACTGCTTTTGGCCTTTTTCAAACGTTTGCTGACGGGCTGACCTAGCGGGCAAGGGATTGGTTTTCCTGGGTCCACCATCACAAGTTGAAGTTGCAAAGATTACAATTACGACTGATTCTAGATAAGGATATTGATTTGGGTGGGTACAAAAAATCCTTTCAACAAGAAGTGTTTTTTCACAAAGTGACCGCTACGTCATTTTAACTATCCGTTGTTTAATAAACATTCTATATGGGACCTATTTAGACTAGTTTTTCAGCCAATGGGGTGCAATCTTACGCCTTTGGGATAGACCTGTCAGATTTGATTTGATCTTGTTTTACAGGTAGTGCACGTGTGCTTATAGGTCTCTCAAAAGTCCATTGGGTGTCCGAGGATGATGCTACTCAAAATACCGCTGGTGATTATGTTGGCACAATCACCAAGCCATCAAATGATGGCTTTTCATGTTTTGAACAATAAGATTTATAATCACCTTCACTTCATGACTGCAAACAGCGTAAAGATAGTGCAAATTTATACTAAGCATTGAGCATTGGTTACATCTTTTCCACCTCCTATGTTGAACATACTATGGGATTGTCCAAAAAGCAAAAATTTCTTTCATGCTTCAATGTGCAGGCATGCACAACACAGGTCTATGCCTGGTTTTTTAGGCAAAATGCTTATGTCATAATCAGTTTCTTGTGTGATCAAAACTGAGAAGTTAACATGTTTTTGGAATCAAGATCTTAATTACTAAGTGGTGCTCCAACATGCAAAAATCCAATTATAGTGTTGAGTGTGGGGTGAGGCAATGGTTGAAGACATTGTTTATGTAAATGAAGTAATTAAAAAAAGACTGCAACCATTTCAAAGAAGATTTTACAAGCTCCAAAAATGTGATCAAGAGTGTTTAATCAAAGATAGTGATTTGACTATAAGCTCAGTGAAACCACATTTTGGCTCATAGCATGGTCAACATTGCTTCTGAGGGGGTTCTTTGTTGATCAGAATGGTTCACAATGTAGTTAGAATGAGTGCGGAGGTTGATAAGTCCTTCTGGACAAAAACTTATTTGACTGAATGTTGTAAAGATGTTGTCCTTGATGTTAAAACAACAGATATGCACATTTCTGAGCGGAAAATTTAGAGAAATTTCAAAGTGTTTTTTTGATCAAACTTCATTAATAAACCCCCCCTAAAAAATGTTCAGGAAACAGCTGGGACAATCCCAGACACCAAAAGACAAAAATTGACCAAGATATGGGCTTGGAAAAATGTGTGCTAAAAATCAAATTGCCCAAAGGTGCATCAGGATGGCATTTATTCTCAGAAAGTTTATATTGAATGGAAAATCATATTCAATTTCCAACACTATTTATTATTGAACCTTTGAGTTTGAAGGAAAACCTGGCGAGATATGGTCATTTTGTGAGTTTTGACCCATGCCAAAACTTCACTAATTCGACTATGTGCTCGCCAAAACTCACTTTTTACGAAATTGATATTAATAAACTACATGTGAAATTGGATTTCCCACACTCCCTATTATCAAACCTTTGGGTTTGGATCAAAATTGAGTGAGATAGGGTCATTTTTAGCCTCCCAAGCTTTGCTCAACCTTCTCTAATTCCACTATCTGATCCCTAAGAATCATTATTTTGATAAAATCATCATAATATACTCTAGTTTAATTTGGATTTACTACATTTTTCATCTTTGAACCTTTGAGTTTGGATCACAATTGGGTGAGATGTGGGAAAATTGTGTCATTTGATCCATGCCAAAAGATTGCTAATTCCATTATGTAATCATCAAGACTTCATCTTTTTGGGAATTCAGCAAGGGTAACCTTCATTCAAATTAAATTCTGAACATATTTGATAATCTGACCATGAAGATTGATTCAAAATTGGGGAAGTTGTGCTTTATTTCGTCTATAGATTGAACCAAAGCCAAAACTTGGAACAAGTTTCCTGAGCCTGATTTTCGATGTGACCATCCAATTTTGAGGACCACATGACGGTTACGTAGTTCATGCTGTCATTGCGCCACGCTCTTGTGATCCTGACTTATTCTCATCAACATTTTTTGTAATGTTTTAGTGCTTTTTCGTGCTTTACATAGAGTTGATTCAAACTCAATATTGGTCTTTTATTCAAGCGGTCTCAACTTTTACAGAACATAAGTTGAATAGAAAAAAGCATAGGTAGGTGATTTCTAGACCCATGAAAACGGATAAAGGTGTCGGATACAACATGGTTCACTTTTATGATGATATGATACCTTTGATCCACCGGAGCTTTGATCTCATTGTTCAATTGTAAATACATCAGTTCTCATGGATCACATTCTCCGAAGTGCTGATTGATCAATAAATACAAGAAAGCAAAGAAGTGGATCAAAAGTGGTTAGCAATGGAGCGAGTGAAGACAGACAAGTGAAGACTGACATACCTCGCATCCGGGGTCCGATGCGTATCAACGTGGTTTTGTCAGTTTGTAGGCTGAGGAGAGCAGCTGTCAGTTCGTAGATGCAAGGCTTGGAATGATACAAACATACTTGGGGCTTGGTGTCACGCCAGGTGGAGTCCTTGTTCTGGAGTTGCAACACAGCTTCCTTCATAACTTGCTCGATTTCGATGGCTCGACTAGAGGTACCAGGGTTAGAGGGCATTCCACCAAGTTCTTCGTCGGCCCTCTGTTTGATGGATAGGTCAGTCAAAGATCATGATTATACATGTCCATATGGGCGGTTATTCTCACTTGGTATGTGTCAAAAAGATGAAGGTTCCGTTTCTCATTTCTGAAATGGTCGTCAATTTCAGATTTTGTGTTACAGCGAATAGCAGGTGGTGGATTATAGTAATCATATATGTGAATCATGTTTCCTGTTGTACTATCACGGATCATTCTCAAAGGATTAAACCGAACTAGTTGGGATTGTGCAACATGAAAAGGGTTGCTGGTTGTTGATGACTCGTTTTGTAAATAGTCGATTTACTTTGCTTGACATATTGAATTAACTTTGAACGCTGAAGTCGATGTTGTTAAGTATATTGTCAGGACATAGTGTATCAGTTGGGTCTGGGGGACATCACCTGATTTGATGGTGAAATGTCCACCTGGTGACACAAAGGGGGAAACCTTTACAGACCGGCGCGTAAAATGTACCAATCCACTCCTATGTACCGATACATTTCTATTACGCCTGTAATAGGTTTAGATTAATGACAATCGGTGGACTCATGATACATGCATCGACAAGTTGGCATCTCCCAATGAAGTGCGTGCAGACATATGCATCATACCCAGGGCTCTGATATGGAATTAAACTCAGTCATCAATTTCAAACTTAACTAAGTCCCTTGTTAAGCTTGAGCCTTGTTAAGCTTGAGCCGCTCAAACGAGGTTGAGCTTAACGAGGGACTTAGTTAAGTTTGCATCAATTTGAGAATTTTAACTCCAAAGTTCTTTCATTTTGAGAATTTACTAACTACTTAGAATTCGCCATATCCCTGGAATCCCAGTTTGTGACCAACTTTTACTACTTAACAACCCTCCAAAAAGCCCTGTGGCTCAGTCTCGTCTGCGGGTTCTGCTTACGTGTACCTCTACATATTCATTTCCCCACCGCCGCACCTCACCAGACCGGACCACCCTCATCCTGCATCCTTCTATTCTTTCCACTTGTCACGAGCCTCAATCATCTACACTCTACACTACACCAAGCTTAAGTCGCCTTTCTCAATGCCGCCTCGTCTGACTCGTCACTCTTCTCGCACAAATGGCGCTACTGAAACTCAACCTAATCAACTTGGTCTCAGGGATCCTTCACCGACTCGTAATGCCGAGAATACTCAAGCTGCGCCCCAGAAAAAGAAAAGGAAACAGTCTAAACGTGTTAATCAGACTTCTCCTCAAGAAAACGATAATGAAAACCTCAACAACAACAATCTAGACAACACCACTGCTGACAACCATCCACCTGATGAAGATGAAGACAATGAAGCTGATCGCCTTACCGTTGATAACTACAAGGAGCATATGGACGCCTGGAGTGTTGGTCGGCTCCGCACAGCCATCAAGAAATACAAGTCTTCCGGTGGTACCCGAGCAAGCACTGAGGTTCAAACCAAGGCTCGACTCATAAATTCAAAATACGAGCACGAATTGTTAATGCTAGCATTGGTAGATAAAGTCCAACTACGAACCATCAAAAAAGCAATGTATTTTTATTTCTCTTTGTCTTTTCCTTGTATTCACACGCTGAAATTGTGATGCTACCTTCTTTATCCAGTGACGAAGTTGCTCCTAAAAAGAACCCCTCCAACCTTGGAATGTATGTATCCTATGCGAAAGAATCTCTTGCATTATCTAGTGAGTTGTATGTCTTTTGGACTATGAGTTTCTCAATTTTCTGACATGTTTTATATAGTGCCCAACAGAGGACAGGAAGATGGTGGTGATATGCTATCCCAGAGAAATCGAATCAACACCGATCGCTGGAAAGCCCTATCACTCGATCAAAAAGCAATTTTTTCCCCTTCCCTATTCTACACGTTAGCTGGAGCACCGAATCCATACGCTGCAAGTGATAATGAAGATGCTGATGATGAAGATGAACGAGGAGACATCATAGTTTCAGTCCCAAAGGTGCGGCGCTTGACACCAGAAGAAGAAGCACTATACCGACCCATCTATGAAGAGATGGTGGATGACGACCGAGTATCGGCCAACATCTCAAAGCCCAAGCTGGGCCCTTCCGATGCGCTTCTCCAGAGGAAGTCACTCACCGCTTTTCAAAAGTTTGCACATGAGGTTGGTGATTGCTAAATCTCATCTCTTCAATGAATTGTCTATTTTTCTTACCAGTGTCTTGTCTTCCATAATTCTACTCTTTCATTCTTGTCTTTCATCTAATCAGCTTGCATGTCTAGCAAACCGATTAGATTTTGCGTTCTATCTTGTGGGATCGAGTACACTCACACCCGATAAATCAAATGCACTTGGATGGACACGGGAGTTCACTACCCACCAACAAGTAGCACGATGGGCCAACAAGACCAGCGGTTTGGCTCGGGTATTTGCAACATATGCGCAAGGCGCTGCAATGGCTGATGCTATTGCATCAGCCACTCATCCTCCTGAATTGAAGCCTAAGCGAAAACGTAGCGACAAGCCTCAACGTAGTGACCGGATCAAGATTCAACTTGGGAGAATGCTCGTTCAATTGACTGGTATGTTTGTTCAATTATCTCCATCATCGTTTGTGATGGGCAAGTATGTACATATTGATTTTGGTTCTTTTAACAGTCAAGGCGCTTGGCCGAAAGCCTACCCAATCTTTCCCCTTGACAGAAGACCCCAAGAGTGCCTTACTCAAACGAAAGGTCCCTTTGGAAATGGTCCGTTCAGATGCGTGTACGTTGTCCGAAGAGGCTCTGAAATTAGGCTTTAAGAAAATGAGGACCAAGGATTGAGAAAAGTGGGAAGATGACATCAAAGGGGGACATTTTCGGTTGAGAAATGTGGGAGGCGTTGAGGCAGTTGCCCTTGATGCAACTGATTTGATGCAACTGATTTGGCCGAAATCGATAGATCAATGGGTGATGAATGTGAGAATCTTAGTAAAGATAAAGACAAGGCTGGGGGTGATGGGGATGATGATGACGAGACACAAGAGGTGGACGACAATGAATGATCTGGGTTTTTGCTTTTTTTCTATTTCATCTCCTTTGTTTAGAATCTCTGTTGAATGATTTTGCAAATGAAGTCATTTTTCTTGTTTTCAGTCTTGCAATAAAAATGAACAGTGTGATTGTTTTTTTCCGACTCAGTAAATTGAGCTTTTGTCAAGACAAGATTGTTCAACTTTGCCATTGTGACAGACAGGTCTGTTGATCTTGTATCCGTTAGTCGAGTCTGGTTGCATGGTAGTGCGATTGTCGAGAGTTATCCTCAGACAGGTCTGGTGATCTTGTATCCGTTAGTCAAGTCTGGTTGTTTCTTGTCAGACAGGTCTGGTCACGAGAGTATCACCAGACCTGTCTGGTTGCATGGTAGTGCGATTGGCAAGTTATCCTCAGACAGGTCTGAAAGGTTCCGAAAAGCCAGACCAATCTGAAAACCAGACCTGTCTGACGATTTGAATATGTCCCAGACAAGTCTGACTATCAGACTCAGACACGTCTGAGGACTTTTGCGCTATGCTAGAGACCACCAGACCTATCTGACCCCCAGTCAGACAGGTCTGGTTTTTTTTTCGAATTTTTCAAGGTTGGCAGGTCAAAAACTTAAGTTTTGCAAAGCTTCAGGATGGCTCTAGAATGCATTAAAACATGTTTGTGAAGGTTGAAAAGTCAAAAAAACTTCTCACTGTGGTTCTTGTCAAGACTCAGGATCTGTCTGGCCGATCTGACAGTTCTGGCAAAATACTTTTTGGGAGCTACCCGTAGGTAGTTGCACGTTTATCTTCGGGTAGGGTCCGAAGGATTAGGGCGCCACAGGTGATGGTCCTTGAAACAAAAGAAAAGAATTTACGCTTTTGATCCAGATTCATCTGAGGATAGAATAGTAAATAAAATTTTGAATAAAGTTGATGGTGACGCTAGAAATGCAATCAAGAGTCAACTCTCTACACCATACAAGTGGGATATGTTTCTGATGGTGTTCAAAGATATTTTTGAAAACACAACAATCATTACCAAGAAAAGATACTTGAATAGACCACGGAGACCTTTTATTGAAAATAGGACCACTTTTAAAGATGATAAAATGCAAGGACCTTCTAGCACAAAAGTTCAACCAAGTACATCAGAAAAGAAACCTTTTAGAGCATGCCCAAACTGTGGAAGCAAAGATCCAAAACATCAGTGGAGAGGATGTACACCACCGAAGGGTTGTCACGTGAATTTCACGCGGAATACCTTTGCAGCGCGATTCCGCGTGAAAATGACGCTGAGAGTAAGTCTGTGTGATACACGCGGTGAGGAGCCATGTCACCGACGTAACGACCGACGTTTGGCACTCGCATACATCCCATCGTGGTGATGTCCCCTCCTCGTGAGTTCACGCTGAACATACAAGTGGGTTCTACACGCGCGGAGCAAACATGTCACGGACGTCACCTCGAACGTCTTGCACACGCATACGGCACAAAGTGACCATTGGTCCTCTACGTAAGCTGGCTGCGTGCGCGGCCACGTGCATTTCCATCACGCCGCCAAACGGGGGCAGCCACGTCTTTAGCTCACGCGCGCGGTAGTGGCGGTAGTGTACAGAGAGTGAAAGCGAATAGAAGAATTCATACAATTGCATGATTGGCAAGAGAAAGACAAGCAGATAATCTCCACATCAACATAAGATTCATAACATTAATCCAGGTGAGAAGGGTTTTGTTCTTCCTCCTCCACAGCCGCCTCCTCCAGACCCTGAAAACCAGACCCACTGCTCCCAACCTGATTATCATTACCCGCGGCACTTGCAAGCGCGTTATTGTTGCCTTGTCCGGCCACTAAAACCTGATCGACAAAGGGTGCTGGGAGGCCGGAAGCTTTGATTGTGGACCAAGTCCGCTGGCCAGTAAATGCCTCTCGGTCATAACGCGCAATTTGAGCAAAGTACCTACCACAGAAGGAAGTCGCTCAGTTTGTGTTCTGCCACATAGTGTGTTAGTGTGTGGTGTCGATTATACAACTTACAAAGACGCATCGCTCGCGGGCCTGGCGCGAAGGTCAGCCAGCACTTCGTCCATCAGCGTCCATTGACAGCGCTTCTTGTTTTCTGTTTGGTTGAGGTAGTAGTACACGGTGACATATCGCTACAAAATGGAAGAGGGTCAGGCACATGTTAACGCTCTCCAAGGCGATTGAGACAAACGAAGCTTACCATGAACATAATCCGTTTGACCTTAGCCCGCCCCAATTTTGCCAACGCATCAGAGTCATCCAGAGCTCGTACCTCGGGTATAAACATTCGGCCGACCTGAGGAAGCACATGTCAGTGAGTTTGACGCAGGTGTTACATCAAGAGTTTCAATTGACCTGGAGTGCCATCGATTTGGCAGCGGGTACCTTGAGTATACTTCCCTCTGGAACGCCCAGGATGTTGTGGAGGAGCTTGTTTAACGGTGTTTGCAAAACAAACAATCAGCCGCCGGCCACACTGACCGTTGATTCGTCACCTTTGTTAAAGTAGACCTGACTCACCGCGGAGCGCACCTTGCTGCGCTGATTCTTCAACGTGTCCTTGATGAATAAGTACATCGCCGTTGTAGGAATACATGCCTCACCCGCGATATAATCACCAGGGCCATGCTCATCAATATATTCGGCCTTGAGACCTTTGAGGTACTTCTGTGCGATTGTGGATTGAGTGAGTGATTATCGCCATTTCGAAGGTGAAAATGACGCCCAGAAAGGTTGACTTACAAAAGTGAGTACCTCCAAACTTTGAACCATGGTGGTGTGATCATCAGCAACAGTTTTGCTGTACGCCTGAAGGTCCGGGCGAAATATGATTTCGGCCACCACGTCTTTGAAAGCGTCCTGGTGATGGTTTTGACCGCGATAGAGAGAGAATTCAAGGTTAATGCACATTGGATTATACATCGGCGGAGGGGTATAATCCTGATGAGATTTTGCTCACCCGGATCACCTTTCCGGGTACCCACTTTGGACCAGAAAGGCCTTTTGATTCTTGACACGCAAAGACGAGGTAGGACAGCGTACCCAAATATTCTTCGCCGGGGAGTGTGTTCTGTGACCCAAAGAGCGTTTAGGTACGCATTGAGTCTTTGCAAAAAAGCCAACTACGAGAAGTAGTAGAAAAGCTGACTGACGTCGATCATCTTCTGCAAAACCTCTTGGTTCTCCTTTGTGAGTTTCAAAAGGTCAGCATACTTCTTAACACTGGCGCGTGATGCTGAGGCGCGTGACGACGCTGAGGCCGGTGGGTTTCGTTGCAGTGGTGGACGGAAGAGAGTGGCAGGAGCGGTCTGGGGGGAGTCAGCCGTAGCCGTAATCGACATCGCGCTATTTGACGCTGGAGAGAGAATGTAACGAAAAAAGAGGGTCAGAGAAACTGATTACGCCATACATGCTCCAAACCGGTATGTTCGGAGCAGGCAGGCCAAAAATAAACATGGGTTCCATGCCACTAACGTCTCAATTGAGTTGTTTCCCTTGGTTGCTGGGCGCCCAAATCGTCCTTGTCAACATTCATTTCTTCGCCAAACAGATCATCCCAATCGCTCATTGCGCCAAACGAGATCAAGGTGACTGCGTGTTCAAGGGTGTAACTGTTGAAAGAATAACGTATAGTTCCAGGATAAACGAAAGGACAATACTTTGGGGATCAGCATTAAGCAGGAGGAGGGTCAGGCGCGAAAGACTATTACCAAACAGATGGATCGCAATATAGAATCCTGAAGAAAGGCCAGGACCCCGAGGACTCGGGAGTCTTATACTATTGCAAACTTCTGTGATGGGCCATGTGCGCTATGGTAAGAAGACGCAGCAACAGTAGAGAGAAGGAATGTATATTTAGTCCGTCATTCCTCGCCTGCTTGAAATTAGGTTGCCGTAAATCTACACGTGATCAGAATGGGTATTGATGCAGGGGATCTGAACGGCGGTGATGGGTTTGTTGGGAATGAAAGATCCGTGAGGGACTTGCGGTTGAGCATTGGAGATGTCGAAAGTCGGCGAAGGGGAGCTGGGCGTGTGCCAGGGGGTTGGCCTCAGTTGCAGCGAGACAGCGGGCATGTCACCCCCTGTGACATGTCAGCTGACTCGCTGCAACTGAGCAGAAAATGAAGTTTTTCGCAACTGCAATGGACGAAGGAATGTGTCCCCAATGGCAAAGGGACCCATTCCTTCCTGACACGAGGAATGTGGGTCCTTGGGGTCTTAAAGAGCACCTAGACACTAGTGCATGGCTTTTAGTGTACTTGCGAAAGAGGTTTCTCAAAACGTGGGTCTCAGGAAGTCCGGACACTCATAATCCAGGTCAATCACGCTCCAGAAATAGGCATCATCCAACCATGTGACTCGTTATGTTTAACTACCACATTGCAAATATATGTGACACTAGAAAATAAGACACGTGCAGCGGAGGGGGGACATGAGGTGGACACCTTTGAGTCCATCAGAACTCATCCATGTCCACCAGAGGGTCATCATCCTCGGGGTGTGCTTCATCGGAACCATCCATGTCGATATCTTTTGGTGGACAACGTTTGTACCACACAGAAAGCCCTTCGGTGATGGACCCCTTCCATTCGTCGGCGGTGAGGGCAGACCACACAGCGCCGGTGACGTTTCGGTGGAATTCTGCCGAGTAATGAGCACCGGCATTTAATATGAATGAATTACAGGCCTTGTGTGTCACTTCTGGGCGTTTGTTCTTTGCTTCCAATCGCTCCAGGAAGTAACCCTTGGTGTTAGTGACCAAACAGCCGCCTCGATGGCAGTTATGCTGCACGTTGAGGACACACGTCACTTTCTACATGTGATAGCCCAAAGTCAGCGACGTTGAAATGCCCAAAGGCAACAATACTCGGGCACCTACTTGGGTGCAAATCCAAGTGTGACCTGAGGTCTCTTGAAGTTCTCTCATACCATAAAATGGGTCGAGTCCTGGTATAAGTTTGCACTTTTTCACTTGGAGAGCAACATCCATGGATCCAACCTGTTGCCAAATCGCACTGACTCTTCCAACACATATAGGCCTGGTGGGTGCCGGGTTGAAATCAACCTGAAATGGAGGTAGTTGGTTAGTCCAAAAGCGCTCATTGCAGCTTAGCGCGACCAATGTCAAAAGGGACCGACTAGAATAAATGTGCCTTCGAGCGCTTTTTGCCCGCTTTCGAGGGTGACCTGTAACGCCTTCTTCCACTTTTCATTGGGCCACTTGCTCAAGAGCTCACGTGGGGGTTCATCACTACCGGCCGTGCCTTTTGGGACTGCAAAATTCGGGAGTCAGATAAATAATCTCCCCTCGGCCTGGTTACATATATTCGAAGAAAGCACGCACATGAAACCTTGACTGTGTGCTTAGGTCCAAAAGCGCTTGGTAAGTGCTGCCCTAGCCCTTGTCGGATCACTTTCTCTTTGAACATGGCACGGAGACGGGTGGAGGCGGTTGCGCGTGTACCTAGTTTTTCATCATAGAAGGAAGATCCTGACACAAGCATACGTAACAAAGCCTCGTCGTTGAACCGGTTTGCAATATCCCTTCCAGGTGCATGGCGATTTGAATGAACCGAAGCCATGCGAGTAACTGCATTTAAAGACTCCATTTTCTCAGTTGCAAAAAGACAGGCGGGCCCAAAGCGCTCGACTGAATAGGGTAGATGTATGAGCATATGGAATTTTGGTTTATTTGTCCATTGGGCATTGAGGGCGACAAGTTGTTTCAAGAAGCGGGCGATGACAATCTTGAGGTCAGATATGTACGTTTCCTTGTTGAAAATTTTGGGTTGAAAAATATATGATGCTAAATGAGATAATGCAATCCAGCAGTGTCTGTAGTCTTTGGGTATAAAGTCAAAAAATACAAAAGCAGCGGCCTGGAGGACCACACGGAAATCTTTCCCAAGGAGGCTGTTGGCGTAATGGACCATATTCCAAGGTTGTATCGGGGCAACATTCAACCCTTCAATGGAGAAACTTTGCCACCGTCCATGGATGGTTAAGAGCTCAGCTGGTAATAATCTTGACACCACATCTCGGTATAGATATTTGGCGACTCCCAGTAGGACTACGTGTAGGGATTCCACTGGAGTGTCCAAATGACCATCAAATGCTAGGCAACCTCCTTGTCAGCCACACAGACGTGTTATGTCTTGAGAGAGAAACTACGCTCACCTGCCAGACGTAAAAATGGATTGAGCATATGTTCACCAAATTTATTTTCCACATTTTGACAATGACTTAAGATGGATGATTGGGAAATCTGTTCACCTTTGGGTTTGACCCTGTTGGACCGGTAGATCTGCTGAACCTCTTTTGCAAACGGTAAATTGAGAGAGTCGCAAGTACCGTATTGTTTTGAAAGATCATCAAAATGCTTGATGCTTTTCGGGTGTCGGGTCAGCTCCCATAATTTTTTGGTCTGCTCACTGGTGACCTTCCAGCTGCGAAAAGGAAGACTGGCCTAAGGTATTTGCAAAAGTCAGCCGTTGCAAAAGCACCGGGGATGTTGAAAGTGTCAATCGCTGCTCACCGGGAGCCAATCTTTGTCAATTCCCACAAACTTTTGAACATATGATTCAGTTTGTTTGTCGGCCCGCGACTCCACAGTTAGATCACAAATCCGACACGGAGATAGAGTCCCGGAGGGATTAGTCGTATTGGAAATCTCAGCGTGCATTGGGGAATCCCCCATGTGGCATAGAATGAAGGGTAATACTAAGACTTCTTGCTCAATGCTACAATCGTAAGCTTGAAAGCCTGTTGTGGAAGCGCAACTATCAGGTGTTTGAATCAATATCGACACATGTAAATGTTTATCAATAGACTCATAAACCGATTGCTCACTTCAATTCATCAATGAGCTGGTCTCCTTGTTCCAAAGCACTCGCAATGTTTGAAGTGCAGAGTTGGTGAATGTGAAACTCCTGATTGGTGAGGTTGGGACTCAAACCGGCCAATGTGCAGTAAAAAGACATATGCTTGTTCCACTTTTTCGAGATGTTACCAGAAGTATCATCCGAATACAACACAACCGGTACACTTCGAATGATCAAACCATGGGCCTTCACTCGCCAAGGATTGGGGAGGCCGATTCGCTTAACGCCATTTGGCGTTTTCTCTGAAAGACCAGCTTGTGATCAGGGTACGTGTTGTGTCAAATTGTAGATGTTAATTGCATTAATCTCACGTAATAATTGTGTACCTGTCGAGTCACACCACTTCAAACCATTATCCAATTGAATCCTTGAGAATGAGCATGCAAAGTGTTCGACATTGACGTCCAAAAGGTGTTCAGAATCAAACTTGGGCTCGGCAGCAACACAGAACGTGTCTCGCGCGCCAGAGACAATTGCCAAACACTTGGCTCGTACACCCAGTTGATCCTTATAAAAAAAAGACCGGGAGGACTACACGTGAATCTACCAGTTGAGCTGGTTCGTATATATAAAAGTGCTCTCCCTCGATTTCAACCATAGGGACACGCAGATTCGGTGGCAGTTCTTCACGCCATTTCTTGGATTGCAAAAATCGGTCGACAGTGACTTCTTTGTCGCTCTCCGGCAGAAAGACCATGTAGGGACATACTTCAGGATTGGATAACTCCTGGGAAAAAAAATTGACACATGAGCAGTGCGAGGAGGACCAAGAGGTAAAACCATGACTGACCTGTGATATGATGTTGGTTACCGAACGAGTAAAACATGGATTTCCCAGCGGACTGGTTCTCTCCAAGACCCTCAGGCCTAATCGGGCCTTGAGGTCTGTTCGAATTGCTTTGATGTGACCTATAAGTAATCCAAACATGTATGACGCTTAGCTCAAGTTGTTTGAACATGATGACTACGAGCGCGTGCATTGACTGACCAAGGTCGGGTAGAAAGACGTCTAGGATGTTTCTCAGGATAGTGCGTATACGTGTATATTCTGCAGTGGACATTAGGTTACGCCCCGTGCCCAACATCATCATCGCGGCAGCATGCTTGGAGTGGAGTGTAAACAGACAGGAAGTGAGCGATGTCGCCGGATGTTGGAGTGAGTCAGACAGAAGAGACAAACCTCTTTCTTTCGAAGAGGGTACCAGGGTAGCCAAGCGTCCGTGAGCGCTCTTTGTTCATCCTCGGGAAGGGGTGCGGTGGAGGATGTGTCTGAATTGGAAGTGCCATCAAGGAGGTCGTGTAGGTCCACACTGGAATCTGATTCGGGGAAGTCCACATCTTTTGGAGGGGAGGAGCCGTAGAGGGAATCAAGCTCATCGGATGACCCGTTGGGCTCATCCAATAGGTCGTGGGTGTGGGTAGCTTCGATGCCGTCGTCGAATATGCCGATGCCGGGAAGCCCGGCATCGGCATCTTCATGGACAGTGGCAGAAGGATCTGCGCCTCTGTTGGCCAAGGTGCCATGAGAGGCGCGGGAGGCTAAACCTGGAGGAGGCACAGTGACTGATCGGCTTTCCAGCTCCACGCGGACTCGGTCGATGTGAGTCTTTAATTTGCTGTGCTTGGTTATGTCAGCGAATGTTCGACCAGTACAGAGCTTGCAAGTCCATTGTCCCATATTCCCCCCCGAGGTACACTGCACAAAGTCTATGGGCATGAAACAAAAATTAGGGTCGGAATTGGTCATTGAAATGATCAATTGACAAGAACATTGTGATCGGGACAACGGTGCCCCGTAAAAGAAAAGCCTCACATTCAACCGAACGTGCTTGAGCCGGTGTTACGAAGCAAAAAGACATTATGATGGTATGGCCGTGTGGGGTCAAGAGTGTGAAATGATTGGGGTCAAGAGGAAATGCACACAATAAAGATAGCAAATGGGGCAAGCAATGCGGAAGTGGGACAGAGAGGTCTAAATAGCCGTCTTGGGAGGGCGAACATGAATGGCATGGTTGAACATGCCTTCCGACACGTCTGTTCTGAGTTTTCCCAATGACCTCTCATGCATCGGAGTGATCTTGCCCTGGAAGTGTTTGAAGGGCAAGATTGGTTGGTCACGTGGACACTATCGCAAGATAGTGTGTCTGTGACGCGTGTGTGGGCATTTTGGGAGCTTCGTGGAATCAGCGTATGATCGCCGTGCGCTTGCGTTACGTCCTAATCATCTCAGCTTCCTGTGGTGACTATGGTGCGGCGTTTGGTGCTGTGGAATATTGGTGGAACTCACGTGGACAACCTGTTGCGATGTTGATACGTTACTTAAACGGGAAGACTTACGTGTAGGGTGCGGGTCTGAAAAGCCCCCTGATCTCACGTACATTTGCCCAAATAGGCTTTGGTGGTGTAAGGATAAGAAGATAAATATGATTGAAGAAGACACGGGAGAGAGTGATAATATGAATGATGAATTTGACTTTCACGGAGGACAACTCTCAGGAGATTCGAGTTCAGACAGTGACACTGCACAGATGTAGTATTTTTCGGCTATGCAAAATGATTAGAATTAATGTCAAAAATGATTAAAAATGCTATGTTAATGCATAAAAATGCACCATTAATGCACCATTAATGAAAAAAAATGCAGCATCAATGCAGAAAAATGCAGTGTTAATGCACATGAAGAATGAATGCAGAATTCCACCTTTTTCAATGAATGATGAATTTGACTTTCACGGAGGACAACTCTCAGGAGATTCGAGTTCAGACAGTGAAGGAGAAAATCACCAAAATCAACAGCAACAGAATGTCTGCATGATTGATATTCATGAAGATAACGAGAAAGACATCAATATATTGCAAGCTGAAGCAGATGTACCTCATTCATGGCAAGATGACATGCAGATGGGGAATACAATTGATGCAAGATTATTGAAATCCAAACCAGCAGATGGAATGGCACATACACTAGGACATCACGCAATGGCTCGAGCATTAGTAAATAATTGTAAAGTACCAATGCTACTAGATAGCGGAGCATCATGCTCAATTGTAGGAAAACATTTTTTATCTGAAATAGTACCAGACTGGCAAGAAAAAATCATGCCCAGTAGTCATGTAAAATTCTCTGGAGTTGGTAGTAAACTTCATGCTTTAGGCGTAATCAGCTTACCTGTGATATTCCCACATGTTAAGCAATCAATCAGAATAAATGCTGAATTTGTGGTAATGGAGAATGCAAACAATAAATACTTCATCTTAGGAGCAGAAAACTTGAGCCAATATGGATTTGATATATTTCATAGTAAAGAAAGATATTTCACCATTGGTAATAATAACAAAAGTATCAAATTTGCCTTGATGCAACATAAAGAGATTTTGTCAATTAAACCTGATATTTCAGAAGAAACTTCAATAACTGAAGATGCAGGAAAACTTCGAGAAAAAATATTGGAAGCGGATTTTGGACCCAATCTTACTCACAGTCAGAAAGAAGATATAATTCAAATGGTAATTAAATACAAAGACCAATTTGGTTTGGGAGAACAACCTCTAGGAGTTATTAAGAACCATCCGGTGAAGATAGAACTCACAATAGAAAAACCTTACCCTCCCATCCTAAGGAAAGGTGCATATCCAGCTAGCCCAAGGAGCAGAAAAGAAATAGAAAAACATATTGAAGAACTACTTAGTATGGGCGTAATACGAAAAGTAGGTAGTGATGAAGAAGTTGATATAACTTCACCTGTTCTAATAGCATGGCACAATGACAAATCTAGGCTTTGCGGAGATTTTCGTGCTCTAGATCAGTACACCAAGCCTGATAGATATTCCTTGCCAAGAATAGATCAATCCTTGACTAACCTTTTTAATGCAAAACATATTACTCTAATGGATATAATGAACGGATTCCACCAGAACATCGTGGAAATATGTAGCAGGAAATTCCTCAGAATCATTTGTCATTTGGGAATTTTTGAATATATAAGAATGCCTTTTGGAATCAAAAATGCTCCAGCTTTCTTCCAAAGGATGATGGATACAGAATTTTCAAAAGAATTGAGGGAAGGATGGCTTAAAGTATATATTGATGATATCATAGTTTTTCACACTACGTGGAAAGAACATCTAGAAGCAATGGAAAAAGTATTGCTAAAAGCCAAAGCCATGGGGATGACCATATCTTTAAAGAAATGCCATTTTGGTTTTGAAGAATGTAAAGCCCTAGGCCACCGTGTATCAGGACTCTGGGTAGCAGTAGACCAAAACTCTGTAGCAGCAATACTACAAAAACCTTGTCCAAAAGATAAACAAGAGTTGAGTTCATTTTTAGGATTTACAAGCTACTACCGAGCTCACATTCCAAACTTTGGAATCATTACTTGTAGCCTCTACAAACTTTATGCTAAAGGTGTAGTTTTTGAAATGACAAAGGAAAGAATTGACGCAGTGAATAAGATAAAACAAATACTTACAACAGCACCAATCTTGTTTCACCCAGACTTTGAGAAACCTTTTAAACTTTATGTTGACGCATCAATTGAAGGATTAGGAGCAGCACTCCACCAAACACAAATAATTGACGGAAAACCAAAAGAAGGACCAATTGTCTTTATATCTAGAAAATTGACAGACACTGAAAGTAGATATTCTTCACCCCAACTAGAAGCTTTAGCACTAGTTTGGGCATTAGAAAAATTACACTACTACCTTGATGGTAGCTACTTTGAAGTAATTACAGATTGTACCGGAGTGAGATCTCTAACAAATCTCAAATCTCCAAGTAGACACATGTTGAGATGGATGATGGCAATACAAGAGTATAAACCATTCATGACAATTACACACAGACCAGGAAAATTCCATAACAATGCTGATGGACTGAGTAGAATGGCGTTGCCAAATGATTCCAGTAATCCAGCATGGGAACCGGAAGAGATGGAAAGAGACATTCCAGTGATGGGAATTAGTTTATGTGAATTATCTGAAGAATTTTTTGATGAAGTAAAAACCAGTTATGAAAAAAATAGTAACACAGCTAAACTTACCAGGATACTGTCTGCACGTAATACTGATTTGAAGCTGTCAAGCACTCTTGAGCAACCTTGGAAAGACGGATTAGCTCAAGGAAAAATTTCACTTGAATCTGACCTCATATACTTTAGAGAAAAGCATACAGCGGTTTTAGTAATAATAGCTACTGAACACATTCAACAAACATTGCACGTATGTCATGATGAATTTATGTCAGGACACCTATCAGAAGACAGGACAGTAGACAGAATCAAAAACACAGCTTGGTGGCCAAACTGGAGACAAGATGTTGAGGAATATGTAAATACTTGTGAAAGATGTCAGAAAGCAAATGAAGCCACAGGGAAAAGATTTGGGTTACTTCAAAGAATAGAAGAACCAACTTACGCATGGGAAGTCATTAACATGGATTTTGTTACTGGTCTTCCGCCATCATTAATCAATAATTACAACTGTGTACTGGTTATTGTGGACAGATTTTCAAAAAGAACAAGATTCTTGCCATGCTACAAAGAGGCAACAGCAATGGACATTGCACTACTTTTCTGGGAAAGAATAATAAGTGATGTAGGATTGCCACGAATTATTATCAGTGACAGAGACCCAAAATTTACTTCTGAATTTTGGAAAAGTCTACACACACTTATTGGAACAACTTTAGCTCTTTCCACTGCTTACCATCCACAGACTGATGGTCTCAGTGAAAGGAATATTAGTACCTTAACTGAAATCATCAGAAGGTATTGTACTGAGGGACTCTGTTACACAGATAAAGATGGACATACACATGACTGGCATACATTACTACCAGCTTTGGAATTAGCATATAACAGCAGCATACATAGCACAACAGGAAAGAAGCCTTTCGAAGTGGAAAGAGGCTATTGTCCTAGATTACCAAAAGACCAAATTAAGAATAAGAATGTTGAATTTCATTCAACTTCTCTAAGTTTCTTTGATATGCTGGGTAAAGCAAGAGCTTGAGCAGCTCAGTGTATTGAAGATTCTGTGACTTATAATCAAGAGAGGTGGAATAAAACTCATAAAGAACCTAAATTTGTAGTAGGAGAACAAGTTCTACTCTCCACCACAAACTTTACTAATCTGCAAGGACCTAAGAAACTTCAAGACCAATTTGTTGGACCATTTGTAATATTAAAATTCCATGGAAGCAATGCTGTAGAAGTAGCATTGACAGAGGAATTTGGGAGAAAACATCCGGTATTTCCAATATCATTAATAAAGAAGTTTCACGCTTCTGACAAGAGCAAATTCCCCGACAGAGAAATACCCAAGAATACTCCTATCAGGTTTGATACTGAAGGAGAAAAGATTTTTTCGCATATAATAAAACAAAGAGATACGCAAGTTAATGGTAAATCTACTACACTCTACCTTGTGAGATATAAGAATAGGAGTGCAGACGAAGATGAATGGCTACCAGCAGATAAAGTACCCAATAACAAAACTACCTTGCGAGAATTCAGAGCCCAAAAAAGAGCTCATAAACCTTCTGAAAAGAAGTAATGACCTCCTTTGAGGGTGGGGAATGTCAGCCCTGGGTACATATGTATGTACCCAAAGACTAACTTGTAACATAGACAACCACCTTTAGACAACTAATTACATGTACATACAGCTTATAAAACACATGTAACATGTAATAAAATACATATAAACATTAATTACATATACAAGTCCATGTAAAATCATATGTAATATGTAATAAAACATTATTTACACCTCATAACTCAGTGTCAAGAGTTAAAATGCTTATACTACATAATATACATAACAGGCATATGTAATTATGTAGCATTAGTGATAACCATAACTAATAGTACTAATTAAACACTAAACCACAGTAGTGATATAAGCAAATATCACCACAGTTAGGTTTGGAGAGAAGAGTATATAAAGCTCTTCTCTCTCAGCCTTCAGAGATTTCCTCCCTAAGAAATATTTACCCACTACTTTTAAAGAACAATTAAAGTTCAATTGAAGTACACATCAAAAGTCTTATATATAAATAAGACTAGTGATAAGCTTCATCAACTTTAATCAGCTTCCTGATTAAAAGTAGGTAATACAATCTTCATTCCTCTCTGGATCCTCTACTTCCCCCAAGTAGAAATCAAATTAGGTTGGTGACCTCAAATCAACCCAAGGCTAGTGACCTACATACAAGCACTTTGGTTGGTGACCATAAGAACAACCCCAGGTTGGTGACCATAAGAACAACCAGTGTGGTGATCTAGACCTCACTCTTCAACCTGTCAACTAGAAGTTTGAAGGAAAACCTTGGATCCAGTTTTCAATTATAATTAATTATAATTATATTTAATAAATCTCCTTTTAAGGAGTCATTTAACTGTAGTCTGTCTGGATTTATCCAAACAGACCAGTCCCCCTTTCATTTTCTCTATCTTTCATACATTTCCTTTGTAATTACATTATAAGTGAAATATAAAAGATAGATATTCAAACAATAACCACCATCTAGTACCCACTTAGTGAGCATTGAGTCCTCTTTAGAGCACCCAACCCTCACACAAGAAGAACAATTTGTGAACAAAATGTAAGAATGAAATTAATAACCCCTCAAAAAGTAATGTCTTTAAATACACCACAACTGATGAATGTGTTTTTTGTGTTTTGTTTTATTTTAGCGTACTGCAGTAGCAGAAGTTCAAAGGTTAGAAAATGAGATTAATAGATTATCAACTTGAATTGCAACATCACCCGAAAAAGTGAAATCCCCATCGAATCATTACAAAAAACATTGAGTTCAGAATTAAGTGCGATTAGCTCAATCTAATTCACATAATTTGGAATCTAGAATTAAATCAATAGATAAATATCAAAAAGATTTGGTTCAGTGTATCAAATTAGCAGATGAATGGGAAATTGAAACGATTATGATTGAAGGAGTTAAAAAACATTTGAATGCCCTTGATGAAGAGTATGAAGTTTAAATGGTGGAATTAAATGAAATTGAAAAAAAACATCTGTAGGTTTCTTAACCACACACAAAAACCTCATTCTAATTTACTAAAACTGACTATGATTTTGATTTGATTTTTTCAGCAAGCACAAAGAAGAACCGAAGTCATGCAAGACACGATCTCAAGAGTTCATTCAGGTATAGATAACAAAAGAAAAACAGGCATCAAAAGACAAAATAAAACACAAGAGAAAGAGTTGGAGGAAATGAGTTTACAAATTGAATTTGAAAAAGAATCACAATTAATCACAAATGAAAAGGTGAGGTTGATTTTGGAAGATAAAGATTTGGCTGAAGATTATATTAGGCATATGAAGAAGGGTCAGGCTTCTTATGAGACGCTTAGATCTGAACTTTATAAGTTTCTTTTACTTTCCTTTACTTTCCTTTACTTCCATTTTTTGTCAAGAGGTTTTTTTCAACTTGTTTTGTTTTGTTTTCTTTCTGTGACTTTAGTACATTATTGTATGAAACATACAACTGCACTTGCAGCTGTACAAACTAAACTTCCAAATATTGCAGATGGTAATAATATGGATGGTAACCCAAGGGAGTAAAACAAAAACTATTTATGTTACATACTACTTTCTTTTTCATCTTTTTTTAATTGTATTTTGACGTTGTCATTTTGTGTGTGATTTTGTGTATATGAGATATTTGTATTGGGACGAGACAGATGAAGCGCAGACTAGATAAACTACTGTTAGTGAAAAGATCTACCGTAACAATGTAACTTGTGGAATTGCATAAAGAGAGAAAAATATCTATCTAGATAAACTAGTGTTAGTGAAAAGTGTAGAGCGGAAGACAGACTAGAAGAACTAGTATTAGTTTAAAGCTTCAACAGAAACAAACAATTGTGACAAAGGAAAAGCTAAAAAATCTAGTAGGTGAAACATGACTTAACAAGAGTATACCCTGAGCTGGCGGCGGTGTACCCCAGTCCATTAGAGCATCCGCAATTGTTGCACTGAGTTGGTGGAATAGCTAAGTATTTAACCTAAAGATTTCAAAATTTACACAATGGTGCAAAATTAAGAAATCTTTAGTTATGTTTGCGACAAAAAATCTCCAGGCTGGGACAAATTTATCCCAGCCTAGCTCTTGCAATAGCTAACCTCCGTGCCCTCAAAAACACAACTGCCCTTCATCCACGCACCTTGTACACATCACCCATCACCCACAATCAACTTCCACCTTTCCTACACATCACCCTTTCACCCACCATCAACTTCATCAACGCAGATGGCTCAACAACCACCCGATTCCACTTCAAGGACTGCTACCATCAAGAAGCGTGGTGAAAATTTTGTGCCAGCTGAAGATGAACAGTTGGCGATCTCATGGGTCGCTATCAACAAGAATTGAACGTCCTGTTGGTCAGAAAAAAGCCAAACGTCAACGTGAAGAACACAAAATCAAAATCAAACGCACCAATGAACTTAAGTGCGCAACTGACATCCAGGAGCGAAAAGCAGTGGTGATGGAGAAAGGACATGTGCTAGCTGAGTGTGCTCTCAAACTTGAGGAATAGGCTAAGAAAATCGAGGGAGAGGCTAAGAGGAGCCAGGTGTATGCTGAGGATATGAACATGTTGATGACTTCAGCTGATAAGTGTCCTGATGATGAATCAAGGGAGCTCCTCAAACTGATGAAAGCAAGGTTATTGAAGAAGTATAGGGATGAAGCTCAGGGATAGTTAGTTGTATATTGATGATTTGTAACTTTCATTTCAAAGTAGCTTATTCACATTCTCAAACAAATAGGAAACAAAACATGAGATGAAATCTTTTTATTTTTCTTTTTCATTAGATTATGAACAATTAGGAACAAAGAAATTAGGAAATATGGAATGATTTTATGGTTTTATTCTTTTCTTTAATTTCTTTTGTATGATTTATTTCTTGATGATTGTATCTAAATTCTGATACTTGATCTGAGAAGGAAACATGAAATTGAGATGCCTTTGTATTAATTTGTATTAACCTTGCAAACTAAACATGTACCCCACCTCTTTTCATCCACATGGATATCTTCAAAGCTTCCACTAATTGCAAGTGGAGATCTCGATTTCTCAGCTCAGCCATCATGTCATAGTATCGAGCAAGAGTATAGCCAATTTGTGGATCGAGGCAATTTGGATGTACCTCAACATCATGTTGTGATTGATAATCAATGGTGATTTGATCCTTTTTGCTCTGATCTTTGACTACCATGTCGTGGATAATAATGCAACATAGGATGATCTTTGTCATATCTAATACATCCCAAAGCCAACATGGTTCTGCTAGTATGTGCCATCGTGCTTGAAGAACTCCAAAAGCACGCTCAATATCCTTTTGGAGTGCCTCCTGAAGGTTTGAGAACAATCTGCTGGCTTCATCAGTCAGATTATGGATGGACTTGATGAGGACTGGCCATGGGGGGTAGATCCCATCCGCCAGGTAATATTCTTGAGTGTAGTTGTGTCCGTTGACCATGAAATGAACCTGGTCTTTGGAACCTGTTCATTTCAAAACATTCAAACAAAAGAAAAAAAATTATTATCAAACTGGATTTATTTGTACAAAAGAGAACCTTGTACCATTAACAAAATTATCAAACAATGGGCTGTTTTGTAAAACATTGATATCATTGAGCGCCCCTGGTGTGCCAAAAAAAGCATGCCATATACGGAGGTTTTTTGAAGCAACTGCCTCAAGAACCACCAATGTGTACTTCTCCTTCCCTTTGTACTGACCTGCCCACACTTGAGGACAGTTCTTCCAATACCAGTGCATTCCATCAATACTGCCTTTACATCCAGGGAATCCTCGTAACTCATTCTCTTTGAATATAATATCAAGTTCATCGGGGTTTGGAGGTTGTAAATACTCTTTGCCATATATTTCAATTATATCATTCACAAATTTTTTCATAGATTCTAGAGCTGTACTTTCTCCAATCTTGAGGTACTCATCAACTGCATCACCGGGAACTCCATAGGCTAGTTGTTGTAGCGCAGCCGTCATCTTCTGGAAGGTTGAAAGTCCGAGTCTTTTACAGCAATCCTATTTATGTAGATAATCAGCATCATCAACTTCAGATACATAAACATAGAGACCTCACTCAACATTTTGTACCCAATAGATGTTGTGCTCCTGTAGGTCAGCAGCCATCTTGCTAAAAAGCTCAGGACTCATCTGAAACCTTCTCTCAAAGTAAGCTCAAGGGTATAGCGGTGAGTCTTGAAAGTAGTCGCGTCGTAGACTTTGGTCTGCAGCAATCCGGTCACAGTCAATGACCGTGCGTGTGTTGATTTTGTAGGTTTGTTCAGGTTGAAGGAAGAAAGAGAAGATCAACTTGTCATATTTGTCATCTTCTTCTTCTTGGATGAGTCTCAATTGACGTTGAATATTGGCTTTTGCATCCATGTTTCAAAAAAATTGCAAAAAAAAAATTGCAAAAACAAATTGCAGATGACACCAAAGATAAAGAGAGTTTAGCTCTAGCACACTTCAAAGCCATTGTGGAACCAGGCTTTGAAGTGTGGGGTAACTGTTACCTAATACACCGTTAGCTCCAACGACTGTGGGAATTGGCATTATATTACTTGGCTCCGGCTAATTTTCTCTAACTTTTAGTTAACTAACGCCAAATCTACCGCAAACGATTGCGGATGCTCTTAGACGGGAGTGGAACTGGTTGCCAGTGCAAGAGGCAGCCCGAGGCCTCGATACAGGAATTGAGAAACGGGGCACAGACTCGGGCATGAAGAAGGGTGGTACTACACAAGAAGAAAGTTAAAACTTTTTTAACTACCTTTCTTGCCACCCAATCCTCCATCTACCTCTAGCCTGCAACCTCACTCCAGAGAGTTGATTTCACAACTCTTCTATTCGCTACTTTTCTTTTTCTTTTTTTCATAAAATAAAATTAACAAGAATGGTACATGAAATTAACAGAAAATTTTTCACATTATACAAAAACTTTCATTCTCAATTAGCAGCCAAACAAGCTAAAGGAAGAAAAGAAGCACAAGCGGAAAAGGAGAGAATCCAAGCGGAACAGAGGGCATTACAAGCAGCATCTAGAGGAATCACTACCAATCAAATGCAGCAGAAACAAAACAAAAATTATATAGAGGAGGACTAGCATATTCCGCGGCGGGCGCCGCCTCAACAAACTTCACTTGTGACTGTCACAGCTTTCTCAAAATCCTCATTTTACTATCCAGTTTATACCTCATCTTCACATCTTTTGTTTTCTTGCAATTCCTCATCTCTTGTGTGTATTAAATTATTAGTTTGAGCCATCTTCCCTATCAATATTAGACTTGTAGTATAAGTTTATATGACAATTGTTCTTGTTTTGCTCATGCCCCATGATTCCCTTGCAAAAGGAATTCACAAAACACTGGTCTGCTAAACTTCATTTAAGTCAAATCATCAAATCTTGAAAAGAATGTTATACAACAGCCATGTGAAGTACTAAAAGCTTGACTGACTCAAGATCCATATATGAAGCTTCAGTCAGATAACCCACTTGACTCAATGGAAATTCAAGGCTTTGGTCTCATGCAACTCTACAAACACCATTTTATAACTTTCAGAAGTTATAGATTTGTTCAACAAATTTCACCAACCCTGGTGAAGACCCCATCAAGTCAGTAAATTCAATTTGAATGTAACTGGGTCAGCTCCCTCAAATAATGCATTGGTACAACATATCACACAAACTATTTGTTGAAGCTATATCCCATCAAGTTACATGATCATGTAATCCTATGGAGTTTGTTTCCTCTAAAACCAAACCTTCACAAACGTCAATGAATTAAGATCGTAGGATTAGCACCAAACACTTTGTATTTTTTACATCTAATCACTTCTTCATCTGAAACCTTGATCCAATTAATCTCTTCAACCCTTCTAACAGTGACTTAATGACCAGATGTATGATTTTCAAAATGAACAACTACTGGAACTAATTGATAACTTTAATTTGATTCTTTGGATTGTGTCTTAAAATCGAGTTTTCTGTTCTACAATTTGATTCATATGTGGCAGTAAATCCATTCATGATCAGGATCCCAGTAAAATTCACTTCACAATTGTTTTTGAAGATCTGGCCTTCCCTATAATAGGAAGACTAGCCATTTGGGGGCGGCGGGCGCCGCTCTCAGCCAGAATACATACCACATTTTGACAAACAAGCTCTACACATTGGGCAAAGCACAACATTAAATGTGTTGCACACAACCTCTACCATATGTAAAACTTCTGTTCTAGAATGAGCAAAAAGAGCCTCCAACAAAGTTTTCAAAATTGAAGGACATGGCATACTGTGCAAGGATGTGTTTCAAAACAAAATAGAAAAACAACCAGTGGCGCAAACAAAGTCTAACATGCTTAAAAGGGAGCAAACATCATTTTTTCACAAATCACAAACAGAAACTAAAAAGCCATAAGAACCAGACAGCAAAAGCAGCAATATTGTCTTTTGAGGCCAGAGAGGTTTGAAACCAAGACTGTGGACAAGTCCACAAAACAATTAGAGATGCAAGAAAACAAAGGTATGGTAGCCATAATCTGAAAAATATAATTACAAAAACAATCCAGCACATTTGAAGAAGAGATCAATTCTGAATGTGTGAATAAATGGCCTACTCATATGAATGATCTGCATTTTGGCTTTGCTTTATGGTGGATACTCAAATTGAACAACAAAAAATATATAAATAAAACAGGTTGTGGAAAATGAAAGAGATTCACATTGGTTGATATCCAGTGTTTGGCTAAGAACTGAGCTGGTATGGATTTGATGTACCTGGAATGATAGCTTTCTGGGATGACTGATGATCCATTTAAAATTATTATTGGATGCTACTGCTAAAACAAGCCCAGTATGAGGTAAATGTTTATAACCTGGGGCAGGATGAAGGCCATGAGGAAATCTAAATGAATCAAAAGTTAGACCTCGGGTTTCTTTCAAAATGCCCTTAAATTTCTTATGTATGGAGTGAAAGTGTGATTTTACTGATGATATTCTGAATAAACTTCACTTGAAGTTGGATTTGTAACCCCATTAAGCCTTTCAAGTGATGATCTTGAGCTTTTTGGGTCCAATATTGTCTTTTTTGGGAGTTCTCCTCGGACTTACTTGGGTCAATTGATTTGTTCATGGCATATAACTTGGAGAGATCTTCTTCCATTTGGACTAATAATGAGTTAAGACAGATTGGGTTGAAATCCAAGATCTTAGCCTTAGAGGGACCAAATTGGGGTGATGTATCCCATCCTGATTCTTGTATCACTCGGTTGCTATCCATGTAGTTCTCTTTTAGCTTGTCATTGAGAGAATTGTAATACTCCGTAGTGTCTAAAAATGCAATAATTGGAATGTTCAATCAATTGAGGCATTCCAAGTCCAATGACATTGAGTGAGAAAAATTAACATAACTGGTGATTTCATCTTGATGATCCTCTTGATGAAATCTCCTTATAAGTTACACGCTCATAAGTAGAAGGACCATTATTAGGACCAACTTCTTGAGCAATTTCAGGTGGTTGACTCCCACTTGGGCCGGATTTAAAGAATCAACAAATACCTGTCTCAGCTATGAGAAGATTCCCTGCAACCCAGTATTTGTAGTACTTTTCAGAGGCTAAGACTGCCCTCTTTGACCAATCTTGATAATGTCAAGTTGGCATAATTGGATAGATCAACTTGGTCAAGGATGTGAATATTGGGAGTTGAGATTGTATTAGGTAATATATTTGATTTCTGTTTGAAATATTCACATATTTGTTTGATCTGTGCATGATCCAAAGAGTGAAACCTGTGGGTACCAACAACAGTCAATGAGAACTGTTAGTACAAAAATACAACAGGAATCAGAGATAGTTGTATAGATCTGCTGAAGTTCACAAGATGATGACCTTGATAAATACCTGAAATGTTACGAGTCAATTGAAATTGTTTGCCTCTGATCAATCCAACAGCAATGAAGAAGGAATACCACTTAAATAAACAACACAAAAGGTGAAACTAAAGTAACTTGATTGAACCCAATTCACAGTTACATGTACATCCCCTGGAACACTCCACTGGGTACAACATGAGGGTCAGGTAAATAACAGCTACTATGTTTACCTTCCTGCATGGTATCTCAGGCTGTGGGCGTGGTGCAAATAATGCGCCTTTGGCGCCCCGCTAATCAACAAAATGTGGGTTGGCGCGCCTTTTCGAGAATTACGCCAAATTGTAGGATTTCCATGTCCTGTCACCAATATTGAAGACTTGGACACTCGCTGTGAGCTCTTATGACAGCTTTTCTCACCTTAAAAAGGCAATTTTGCCGTAGTACATGGCTCTAGCAAAACACACATAGAACAAATAACAATATCAAAGCGACTTTTTGGCTTTCGACGATTTTTTTTGTAAGAAAACACGCCTCGGCACGCCTAAAAAAATACTACCGCGCCCACAACCTGAATGGTATCTGATAATTTCAAGACATGAACTTGATCAAGATCACCAGATAGGTTCAAACTAAAAAGTGAATATTTGATATGATTCAAAGGTTCACTTGAAAGAATGTATGATAAATGATGATTTATGATCTTAGGATCTTTGAGAGGATCAAGGACAGGTCATTAAAACGTAAAAGGGATGACCATTAGAGAGAGATACGATTCAAGAGTTGGTCAAGTTGAGATTGGGCCTCTGTGGAAAGCAATTCCTATGATCTTGTCTTAATCTCACATCATCTTTTTATTACATCACAGATCAAGTGGCGGGAAAAAAAGAATCACTCTTCATCAATTTATCAAGGCACCAAGACTCAGGCCAAGACTCAGGAAAGACAGTTCATAACCATTTGAATTGTCACTATGTGTATCTTTTTTCTAAATTGAATTCTCAAGGAACACAAATACATATGAAAGTAAAACAACACAGAAAATTATATGTACACATATTAGTATAAGATCACATTAGTATGTACGAGGTATTGGGCGGCTCCGCCGCCCCTCGGTCACCTGGACCTGGTCGTGTCCGTAGTATTAGAGTCTTGGTAACCCCACCCGCCACTGGTATTTGCACACCATTGTGCTCCGCATACCGGCACTGCTCCATTGAGTCCAATTGTCTTACAGAGATCAACGTCGTATGTACATGATGTCAAGGCTTGCTCTACTACATCAGGCTGAAGGTAAACAATCCACTTCCAGGACCTTTACAATCCACCTGCGTCGCTGCCCTTCCATACTCACGACCTTGCCCATGCATGTCATTACTTCCCCCACTGCCATACCCCATCCCGCCTTGCGGCCTAAATCTTTCCCGTCGTATATGTAATACACCTTGAACTCCCTGAAAACCAAATTCTACAGACGCTTATATCAGCAATGGCATTGGACTCGTCAAATATAATTCGTCACGTACTGCCATGTCCCATTCCCTATGCATTAAGACCGCGACCCTCCACTCATCCCCATAGGCGTCCGTGCAGACTGGGTTGCCTTGCAGCACCAGGCCACGTCCCGAGACGGTCAAGCCTTCCAAGCCCGGAAGTATTGCTTGGCATTCGCTCGACATACCGTCCAAGACCATCCTCGCGCAAAGGTCTTCGCCACCCTGCACAACTACTCCACGCAACTTGCAACGCCCTTCCAGAAGGACCGATTCCCCGCTAGCGTCTTCGACCAGAACAATTGGTTCCACAGATCCACGCGTTCGTCCCAAATCAATTAAGGTGTCGTATTCCATTCTACGCGGGCCGTCATAACGTTGCTGAAGGAACTCAATCATGTTAGCAACAGGGGAGTTATGCAGTTGGCACGGCTTACCACGCCTACCACGTTCAAATCGCCAGACCATCTCAATGGCAGCCTTTCGTACGACCCTACACCTGATGACCGAGTGACGCTTTGCATTTCTGTTTCAGCCTTACGTGTGCTAAGACTTGATTCAAGCTTGACTGATCGAAAATTTACGATTTAATTGGATTGAGAAGTAGCAAAAATTGACAGATTGTCACTCAGCCATGACCCTTGGTTCCCTTTAAATGTGCTAACCTCACGTCGGCAAAAATTGACAACGAACGATCACTCAATCCCAAATTCATGACCCAACCAGGCCAATCATCAAATCCGCCCGCATCAAGCCTGCAGCACCTTCCGCTTGGCAGACCAGCCTTTCCTTCCAAGCCTTAATAAACGGGGTAGCTTTCTATCGCTCTCACGATCTAGCTGGCTAGTCAGTGACAGCCAAGAAGCAACCATCTCGTCACAGCAAATACCAGCCACCTTTCCATGACGCACAGTACGTTCCCTTTCACATGGATCAATCAATGTTTTAACCTTGCTTTCTTAACCGATCCGGTATTTCCTTCCATTCAGCCGTTTGCCGCCCCAATCAGCTAATGCTGTCATTTGGTGAGGACAGAGCAAAAGGCACCACATCGATTATCGATCAGTTGTTCCTACGGGCCATCACCCAGTCATGTTGGACGTGGTATAAAGTCTTCCGTGTAGACATGATTTTACGTCCGTCACCTACAAACACCTTACCATTACACCTTGGAACCAATATTATATCAACGACTTCAAAGCACCTGTATCCAATTTCCCATGCCAGGACCTGCCCCATCCACCGTGAGTTACTTCAACTCCCCCTTCAGATTACCCTTCTGACGATCCGTACCAGTCTCACTCCCGCGCTGTATTTGCAGATCTCCGATGTGAACATCGTGCGGTAGTCCTCACGATATCGACACAAACCAACCCACCGTGTTTGTTATCGCAGCGAACATATGTTTCTCATAACAAAACTTTCCAAATATGGATAGAGTTTCAACGGAGAGGCCCCCCACTTGTCTCACTCGTTCGGAACCCCTTATGTGCATCTGAGCACCCACTACTGTAAGCGTTTCTCTTGCTTCGTCCCCTGCCCTAATCGTTTGCGAAGAATTCAAGCAGCTAATTCGAACTTCCACACTTGCTACGCAGTCACTGCCAGATCGCGTGAACCAGTGCGAATCATTCACACCGCCTGGCCATGTCTGGGACATCTCCCAACTATTACATCGAGATTCTTGAAGACTACTTCCCCTTTGTCTCTGTGTCATGTTGAATCGTATGCGCTTGCTACCAAATGTAATGTTCTCACTGCCTTACAACATTAAATTCCCGCGGACATGCCTTCATACCTTCGTAATGAGACACCATCTGTGTATATTTCATTGCATGCAATACAAGCCTGAAAAGCCAGTTATTCATCACGGACCGCAATGACCAAGCGCACTTAGTCCAAATTCATTTCGCAACAGGCCAGTACACTTTTTGAAGCCTACTGATCCCGACTGTTCATACCCCTGGATAGTACTAAATCACCGCTAGGCATACATGTCAGGGCATCATGTACTACAGGTCTAAAGGGTTACGGAACACAACGTGATTCTCGACAAAAAACGTTCCATAGACAGACGGTCGATTTGCTCCTCGGTGATAATCCTCGCTATGATCTCATAATTACGGACTACTCCGTTATTATCTGGACAGTTGAACGCAACACCACAAAACGTATCTGGAAACATCTGATGTTAGGCTATGAAGGGAACCACTAGAGGACTGAATTACTCACTATCGACTTCTACACTTTCGTCAGGATCCTCTATCTTTGTCAGGATGCAGACTTGTGCTCCTTCGCTAGGTGGCACAACACGGTAGGCCATTAGATTACCATACAGTCACCGATACAATATGATCACCTATACAAATCCACCAATACAAAAACTCAAACCTAATTACAAATTTAGCTGTATCATCATTGTATCACTCAACTTAGTTCATACTGATCGCCACTCCGCGCGCGCCTCTTTTTCCTCATCAGTCCACTGAGGAAAATTAGGCGTGTGAGTTCTTTTCTCTAACATTATATTCAACTCAATCATATCAACCTTATTCATCAATTGCTCTTATTTCTATTACCTCCTTTTGTATAGATTGAATCTTGTCCCTCTCACCTTTAATAGGTGTGTAGTATTGTTGTCCTTGGTGTTCAGAACCAGAAGGACTTAGCCCGTTTACTGGCTTTTACCAGGTCTGTTGTTTAAGTTATGATTAATGATAATATCAGTCCACTGAGGAAAATTAGGCATTGAATCTTGTCCCTCTCACCTTTAATAGGTGTGTAGTATTGTTGTCCTTGGTGTTCAGAACCAGAAGGACTTAGCCCGTTTACTGGCTTTTACCAGGTGTGTAGTATTGTTGTCCTTGGTGTTCAGAACCAGAAGGACTTAGCCCGTTTACTGGCTTTTACCAGGTGTCGAGTTCCTTGAATTCTCTCATGGTAGCGAGAGTGAACTCGACTTTTATTTAACTTATGTCATCGCCTCCCAGCGCTTCATCTCCCGTGAACTCCAATATCGATCCTGACGAGACTACCGAATCTGATCCTCCTTCAAGCTCTGCCGAATCCTCCACTTCTGATCATACTATCAGTGCTCCGTCCAATCCTGCTCATACCGATCATCTAAATAGAACTTCTGTCAATATGAGTCAACCTAGCCATCCAACCACTCAAAAGGAATTTGCCATCGCGTTAAACTTGAGCTTAAGCAAAATACCAACCACTGTACTTTTAGGCAATAGGAATTACACCCGATGGGCCATGGGTATCAAAAGATCTCTTAGACCCTTATGTTTAGATCAGTATCTGACAACTCAACGTAAATCTGAAGACATGTCTGATGAAGAACATTTAGCGAATAAGGAATGTCTCACGAACTTCCTTCTTAATCGCATGGAATCGTCAACTTCAGCTTATGTCGAGTCTAAATTACAAGTCAAAACTGGTGGAGAAGTTGACCTAGAGTATGAACCCTCAAAACTCTGGACAATTGTTAGAAACAACAAAGCCCCGACGTCAGAAGCAGCTCAATTTCAATTAGATAACGACTTAGATGATTTACGCCAAGATAATCGTACAACCCTTGAATCACATCTAGATACGTTTAGAGAAATGAAAGACGAGTTGATGCTAGCAGGAGGTGAACTTACTGATGGTCAATTAGCTAGAAGACTTATTAAATCCATCCATCCTGATAATCAAATCCTGTTATCGAACGTGTTTGATATGGTTAAACCATTAACATATGACGGCGTAGAGCAATACATCTTGTTGAAGGAGAAGGAGATTAGAAACTTACCTCAATTCGCCAATTTATACAAAAATCAATCGTTCCGACCTGGAGCTCATGCAATTAATCGGACCAACAATCGTGGTAACTATAATAATCAACACACTCGACCTAAGTGTACTCCCGACCGATGTGTATGTAAATATGGTAAAGACGATTGTTTTGAAAATCCGAAGAATAAGGATAAGAAGACCAAATGGCAACAAGAATTGATCAGTAAAGGAAGATGGAGAGGACCGGTACCTAGTCACTTACAATCAGGCAACCCATCGAAGACTTTTCAGCATCGTCATACATCAGCCAACGTAGAACAACCATCATCAGAAGACCCAGGCATCAACGAATTGACCGAAGCTATGAATTCGATGAGCGTGACAACCAATACGGACCAGCCTACTGTGTTTCATACGGACTATTTCTGCAGCAACAAAGCCGTACAAGCCAAGATCCCTAGTAACTCTTTTGGTCTTGCGGACACCGGTTCATCTCACCACATGTTCAACAACCTGAAACATTTTGATCAAAGCTCTCTAATCCCCAATCCTGAACCCGATAAAAGATTAAATTTAGCTGGAGGAAATGAAACGCTCGCTATTGAAAAAATCGGCACAGCTTACCTACTTGATAATGATGGCAACACTATGATCTTCGAAAACTCACTCTATGTACCATTATTAAACAAAAATTTAATAGCCGCCGGTGCTTTGATCAAGAAGGGAGTCGTTCCTGTTATTCATCCGACACATCCTCATATATTTAGCCTGAACTTGGGTAAAAGAACACTTTTCAAGGGTTTCTTTTCGGGTAATCTAATGATCGTCAAACTAATTGAATGTCCCGTACGTCAAATTTCCACTCAGTCTTCATCCTCGGCAGTCGATCAATCATCTGATACACTTGAAAATCTTCATCATCGATTAGGCCACCCTAATTTCAACTACCTCCAAAAGATGATAAGAGAAAAGCTCATAGAGGGTGTATCAATTGATTGTGATCTTACCAAGCCTGTCGACTGTATTTCCTGTATAAAATCCAAATCTGAAAGACCCCCCTTCTCTCACTCGCGACCTCGTGCTACCAAGAAGTTAGAGAACGTTCATGTAGATCTGAGTGGGATTGTACGTGGCTATGTGAATGATGGATATCTCTATTACATACTGTTCACAGATGACATGACTGGAATGCGATTCGTCTACTTCCTGAAATCGAAAGATAAAAATTCTGTCTTCAATGCCTTATGTGCTTTCATAGCCTTTGCCGAACGACAAAGTGACCGAAAGGTCAAGTGCTTTACTCTGGATCAAGGTTCAGAATTTTTCAACAACCTTTTTGTTCCCTATTGTCGTGAGCAAGGAATATGGTTACACGAAACTGCTGCTTACACACCTGAGCAGAACGGTGTTTCAGAGCGAGCAAATAAAACCATAACTTACAAAGCTAGAGCTCTTCTTGAACACTCAAACCTACCACCAAGTTTTTGTTTCGAAGCCGTCAATACAACTGTATACCTTGATAATCGAACGATCTCTTCTTCTTACAACAATGGATCAATGACTCCATTTGAAGGCTGGTACGGTCGTAAACCCTCGATATCTCATATCAAAACTTTTGGTTGTGCGGTTGAATATCTCATTCGCAAAAGCCAGCGTGATGGAAAATTCCACGCTATCACCAGAACTGGTGTACTTATTGGATTCACCACCGATAATTTTAACTATCGTATCTATGATCTTGAACTGAAGAAGATTGTCACAACCCGCGATGTGAAATTCCGCGAGCACATCTTCCCATTCCGAAAGTCAATCAAATTTGATTACAGTCACCTATTCTCAAGGAAGGAATTGACTGAACTCAAAGAGAAGAACTCAGATTTTGAACCAATCATCAATTTAGATGATGATGACTATCCTCTCCTTCCAAAACAAAAACCTTCTAACAATACCCCAGACGTTACCCAGGAGTCTGAACCTCCTGGCAATAACGATGGGATAATCAATCAATCTCAATCATCGCCTCCACCAGAGAAAGCCATGGAGTCTGAACCTCCATCGGCAGAACCTCTTGGTGAAAATCGACCTACAGTCACTGAACAGCCTACAGTCAGACGTTCTACTCGGGAACATCGACCACCCAACCGATTCACACCATCCTCCAATCATTCTTTTTGGGCAGATATCAATGCCTTCATTTCTAATGATGACCTCGACTCCTATGCTTTTGCGACCACCCCTACTGTACGCCTAGTCAATGAACCGAAAACTTATAAACAAGCTTTGAAATCCTTACACAAAGACGAGTGGATTGCTGCTATGAATAAAGAATTGTCTTCCATCAACAAACGTAAAGTTTGGAGCATTGTAAAACGCCCCAAAGACCGAGCTGTTGTCGGTGGGAGATGGGTTTTTAAGTTAAAACACAACCTTGATGGATCCATTTCTAAATTTAAAGCCAGATATGTTGCAAAAGGATTCTCACAAGTGCCTGGAGTCGACTACCATGAAACATACTCACCTACCGGAAAGCCCACTTCTCTAAGAGTTCTTATTGCTATTGCTGCCCTTAATGGATGGCCTATCGAATCAATGGACGCGATATGTGCCTTTCTCAACAATCTATTAGACTATGAGATTTATATGGAATTACCCGATAACCTCAAAGAAGAGTATGGAGACGATATGGTTGCTTGCTTAGCTAGAACGATTTATGGATTGAAACAATCTGCAAAGTACTGGAGTGATGATGTTACAGAGTTTCTATTATCAATAGGCTTTCATCAATCAGAAGCTGATGCTTGTGTGTTTATACGCATATCATCTGATGGATCAAGATTCTCAGCTATGTATGTGCATGTGGACGACATGGCAATAACCGGAAACGAAATCTCTCACATCAAAGACCTCATCTCTAAGCGGTGGGACATGGAAGAT